ACTTATTGTATATCCAGTAGGAAAGGGTTTCTAGATCTCAGTGCAACTTTAAAAATGGCACAACATGTCCTGCTTATCCTAAGCAAATTATCTGCTTCAGGCAGAAAGACATTTACTCTTGGTGAACCGCTAATGCAGGAGTCGGTGCAATACGCTGTACTGGTATGCTCCAAAAGATAAACCCGCACACTATGAAGACACTCTAAAGGGATGCTTGTCAAAGAAAGAAATGTGGCAAAAGCCTCATGTACCAAATATTGCAGTTTAATTCCTAATTAAGGACAATATTCCATATTCCAATATTTTCCTCTTTGTCCACCTCATTTTTTTCAGCTTAAAAGCTTTTAAAGCTTTGATCTAGGCTGAAGGCAGTGTGACACAACATTTTCCTGCAAGAAATATGTATATAATTTAACGCTGGACACTGAACCTTTCCATTATAAAGAAGCAGAAAAGACTTCAAGTTCCCTTCCTCCTTAACTACTTAAGGATATGAGCCAAGGTGACTGGTTCATTCATGTGTACGTACAGGATTCCTTATCTACTGGCGCAGTATTTTTTGTGCAGAAAGATGCTTTTGGAAAGGTTTCCATTCAGCTTGTTTTGAATCATACCATAGTCTTGATCCTTGCTTTACTGCTGCTTAAGGCTTTGGATGTGTATTTGCATAGAATTTTACATATCTGCTTTTATACCACTAGCTGTCTCTGGCATAAATAACCTCTGTGTTTAGCCCATACATATTTGCTTGGCACTGTTACTCAGCACCATGTTTTCAAAGCTTTCCTGAAACACGATAAACTGTGAACAGAAATGGAACAAAACAAAGCAAAAAATTATGATTTTAGAAAGTGCTCACTTTCAAACTGGCATATTCATTATTTACTTTCGTGTCTGATAATTATTACATATGGTTCAAGCACATTTTCATATTTAAACTACTTTCTTAAATCATAACATTCTGGAGTTGGTGAGGCTACTGCTAAATAACTATGCACTGATCAAAATGCTTGGAATGAGCAGAAGTGGCTATCAAATACACAACAAATAGTTACAGCTGACCAAGAACATGCTGTGATGGCAATGACATATTCAGTGTAACATCAAAAAACTTCCAATAAAGCCCCTGTCTCTGAGTTAAAGGAACAAGCATTACTGATTTGCTTATGAAGAAATATGACTGAAATATCTACATAAGGAACTTAAATAGCCTTACTGATTCACAGGATATAGTTGTGACATCAAAATCTATATTAAACCAATATTTGACAGGAAAAGAAACATTTACAAGTAGGAATCTCTTAACACTGGTACAAATCGATTTACATTAAACATCAAATTGAATCTGCACGTCTGATTATGCAAACATTTTAGCTCAGATTTTTTGTATTAAAACTGATCACATGCAGATTGTTAGCTTTAAAAATATATACTTGGCTCTATTAAAGTGCACATTATTTAAATACAGCCATCGGATTATATTAAATAGAAATAAATTAAATAGGTCATCTTCAGTGCACAGCACACAGATGGAGTGTGAGAAGTGAGTATCTTGCCCCTAATGTAAACAACAGAGAAGCAGAGTGAATTGAAAGGATGAAAACATTCATAATCTACATAATAAATATGCTGGCATTAATTTAGGAGTTCATAAAGTAATTCAACATTGCTGTAAAAAAGGAACATGCAAAGATGCTAGCTACAACATCTCTTAGCTAGAAGCAGTTCAATGTTTCAGCACTCGGTCTACCACAATTCTGACTACGATACAGAATTGGTACAGTGTGCCTCACCTGGACCTGTCTCAAACACATCCTCTGAACTCCTAAAACCAGACAGGCCCTCAGCACCAACCCGGACTTTATATGCTGTTCCTGGTGTTAAACCCTTTAACACAAAGAAGCTTCGAGAACCATTTACAATTTCTTTTTTCCAATCTTCTTTGCCTACAAAAATTTTAGGAAAACAACATATTGGAATTTTAATTTTCTCTGTATGACTGAAAGTTTCTAGACAGCACACTATCAACAGTTACTTGACTAAACTATGGATTGGCTGAAAAAAATAACCATTCTCTTTCTCAAAAAAAAAATCATTTAAAATTATGACTTCAAATAATATACTGCATGCAATATATTGAAGACAACATTGTACATGACTGATGAAACTATTTTAAACATTTGTTCCATTGTACTAGAGAAATACTTTTAAAAAAATTTTTAAAAAGGCTTATTGAACTTGCAATTATAAAACACATTAAAATACATTTTAATCATTTAATTAAATTACACTTCCATAGTTTCAGTCAATATTTGCTTTAGTTCTACTTCAAAAGCTGACCCTATCATATTTCCTGATCATTCTTTTATATCTTTTTCTAATACAGTCTCAGCTGCTTCTCTGACCAATATCCAGAAAAATGCATTTCTATTCCAGTTTTCAGATTGGTCATGTTTATTCATAAATTTAGGAGGATAGAATATTTGAATAGAAGTATCTTGGTTTTATTAGTTAACTGTGTTTTAATTATTACCGTTATCAAACGTTAAAACCTGGTTTTATGCCAATAAAGTAGGTAAGTTGGTTGATACCTTATTTTAAGGTTTAATTCAACAAAATAATATTGTTTTGATTAGCTCTCTTATTTAATTTGTTCTTTTTTCCTGGATTGGACATAATTTAGGAAAACTGTTATAACCTATTTTAATGCAAGTAATATTTTTTACACATGGAATCACTGCATGAGAAACAACTTCACTCAAACTACATTTTTAGAAGTTCACGTTCAGAAGAATTTATAAAATAATACAAAGGAACAAAGGCTGATATTCTATCTAAGCATCAAATACTTGCTACACATTGATGTTCATAAAAATGAAATTTATTTGATCTTGTGGATCAAAGTAAAAAATAATTCTTCTAGACATTTAAGAGCTATCATTAACACTGGGTCAATTTAGGACCACATTTGCTATAAAAATCTTTGAAAATATATCTGAACAATTTAGCAAAATTTAATGAAATAACTTCTTACTGCCTGCTACACCATATTCAACATAAAAGTTCGCATGATCTGGTCCCTCATACTCCCAACTGATATTGGCATAGGTCTCAGCGGCAGCTGTTGTAACATTTCTGATCCTTGGATAAAGTGGTTGCACTGAATACACAATAGAAAAACAAAGCAGAATAGGAAATTGAGACTTCATGCATTAAAAAAAAATATTTTAAGAAGTTACTATGTTAATTTAGACCATATACAAGGAAAGTATAGTACATCTCTCATTGTTTCCATTACTGGAAATCAGTGACTAAAGTAGCATGTTTACTAATTGAATCCTAGGCAGTTACTACACTACGAAATTCTAAAGTAAACTCTATGTACTCTACTGAGCATGCCCTGTATCACAAAACCTGCCAAATACTTAAAAATACCTAATTGCCAAAATTCTGGAAAACATTTTTTCTTTTCATCTAGGAGTAAAATGCGGACAGCTGGAAAGTGAGAACATTGCCAGGGTAATGTGAAATGGCAGGAGAGAATGGAGTTATGCAGGTGGAACACACCTCCCTTCAGGCCACATGTCACTGAATGGACTGCAAATGCCTCAAGTGCAAGCCCTTACAGGATTTTGTCTCTATTGCATTGATAATGATAGAAAAGGAAGACAATACCCTTATAGAATGTTGGACGGACAGTGTGCATGACTGGGGAGGTTGCAAAAAGGGTTTCTTCACCATCAGAGACAGTAGGAAAGAAAAAATAAAGAGTAAAACCACTTTGCATTGAAAATAACATTCAAATAATACAGTAAAACCTTACCTGTTAAATGAATAACACATGCACACTCTAAGTTCATGCAGGATTCAATTAGTTTTACTTGTTAAAATATGAAACAGCTAAGTGATACTCAAGTATCTGAAAACAAACTGAAGTATGTGTGTACTAACACCTTTACTTTCACAGAAAGTTTCTGAAATCAGCTTCATTAATGTTATGGAGTCACAGCTCCTTTAGACACTGGAACATGAGACATCAGATATTGGAAAGCCAAGATCAAAATACTCGGCTGTGAAGGACACAAATCACTAGAATGCAAGAAGCTGTTCATTTTAAGGTACTGTCTTACTGTTGACATTCTTGTTAGACAACAGTACTTTTCATAGATGCGCGTAATGCCCACACCTATGAAAAGAAGTACTTCTCTCTTCAGCATCCTGTCATTAGCCACTTCTTTGCTCATACCTTAATTCTTTGTTCTCCAATTGTACTTGTTACAGACATATATTTCAGTATTTTTGTTTGCTAACATTAATGACAAACAGATTTTAATAGTTCTAATATTGTAATAGTGCAGATACAAAGAGGATGCTCCTCAAAGGCATGAAATTAGTTTTCAATGAAAGTGCCTCACTCGGTTTGCCACTGACATTTCTATCCTGCTAAAAATATCTTTTCTGTTGGAAACAGCATCAAAAATACTTCTCAAAGGACCATGAAGCATCAGAGGTAAAAACAAGACTTCCCAAAGGACCATGAAACATCAGAGGTAAAAACCTAGTCTTGGTAAAGACAAACAGAAGAATTCCAATGGCTTCACCTACACCAGAAAATAAAACGGGCAAAAGCCTGTTCTCAAGGTGCTGCACAGACTTCATCTATGTACTTTCACTATTTTCTCCTTAAACCAGGATGGCCTTGTCCATATGGTTGACTGGAAGAAGTTCCAAATTAGATTCAAAGAGGAAATGGCTTTGGCATAGTAAAATAAACAAATCTGTATACAAGCCCTCAACACAAACTAAATAATATGAGTACCGTGCCTAGAAAACTATAGTCTCGGAGTCTTTTTAAAAAATACCTAAATCATGCAAACTCCACCAGTTCTCCTGAAAATGTGTTCTCATGATTACAAATTTTCATAATATCAGATGACTTATGCCCATACTTGCATCAGATTTTTCTTCTTAACTCTATTCCAGTAGTACTCATTCACCTCTTCAATCTGTATTAACTAATTACTTCCACACTTGATGCCTTTGTAGGTAAGCTGTGCTTATATATTTCATATGTAATTTCTTTCACCAACCAAAAATAACACGAAACATATTATTTAAATAATAAAGAATATAGTTATCTCTTGACTAAAACTACCTGACCAAGATCAAACAGAAAGCACTAGATTTTAAAAAAAAAAAAGCCATCTGGGTTACTAAGTCAGCAACAAAACCCCTACAAAATACCAGAGCCAGGGCTGTCAATGGGAAATCTAGCATGTAACCGTATACGCCACGGTAATGCAAGGGGATTAGATTCTGCTTTTCTGTGCCACTTGAAGGTAGCAAGAGGAAAGAATAGCAGGCTCTAAATTTAGAAAGGTGCAGAGCCTGAGATTGCAGACAGGATATATCGACTTCCTTCCTCATTTGCACATAGGAACAGGTGTTTGTTACAATCAGCACCTAAGCATTTGTTCCGTGCCAAGAAAACAACTGGTTTGTATTCTAAATGCGACTTTACTTTGTTTCATTAAATCATATTTTCTCAAACCCATATTTTCCTGAAGTTTGCTCTTCCACAAAAGACGTCTAATTAGCAGCATGACTGTATGACTGCCATTTGTCACCAATGTTAAAGACAGAAGAAACTATTAGCAATCATCTGTTTCAAACTCTTGCAAAGAGACGCCACAGAATTACACCTAACTTCTCCCTCCTCATGCCCGAGCACTTGGGGATGAAGGAAACTGTCTCATCTTGTGTGAAGGACTCCAGATGACAGACAGCTTCTGTAACGCTAAGCAAATCCGATAATCACCTTCCCTGCAAAGACTCCATCTCATCTTGTGTTTTCGGTTTTTTTCCCCGTCTCCAATTTTCAGTCTCTGCTCTGACTAAAGAGTTGCCTGCTAGATTAAAGACCTGGTATCTGGTAAATGTTTTTCTGTTCATATGATTGTATGTAACAATTAAGTCGGCTCTGAGAGTTACCTTCATTTCCTTGGTATCTTAGTTGCTAAATCCTCTCAAGTGACTGATTTATACTTACATTTATCAGATATACTCTTATCTGATTCTTATCAATAGCTGTTGTATAGATTTATCCATGTGTAATATTTGGTCAGATTTCTGTTTGTTTTTTTTTCCTATTGAATACACTGCACCAGGAAATGTTTTCAGTAGCACATTTATTTTCAAAACCATTATTTTTGTAATTCTTCCTCTTTTTCACTACTGCTGGATCTAATTTACCAGTAGGCCTGGAAAGTTTTAGTTAAGTTTGTTAAATGTGCCATATTTGCAACATGAATACACACATAAGATAAAAGATGGCTGATGGATCCTGAGGTGATGAAAGCCTCAAGTTGAAGTGGTTACAACATTTAAAGCTTGTCTCCAATCTACACAGACTCCTGTCTTCTCAATCAGCACACCTCTAATTATAATTAACCTCTTAGTTCTTCAGTATGTTTCCCAGCACTGTTCACAAATGCAAAATGTGTAATTGTCAGTTGGCAGAAACTCTCAGCGTGTGCAAGCACCAGTTGGTAAAAAGGGGGAGCAGAAAGCTTTGTCTTGGGGAGCAAGGCTTTTTCAGTAGCAGAGCACTGTGCTCTCTTAATTTGTAATCATGCATGATGCTGTGCAGCAGCACCGGCAAAAGCATCGCTCTAAAACTTATGAGAATGGATTATTAGTAAGTTAACAGTTTTTATACAGACCAACTCTTACTAAGCTACCTCCAGTAAATTAAGCTCTCATACCCATGCTACGATACAATGCAAAATTTAGCTGGCACTTCTGAGTATGGTTTCATTCCTGTAGTGAGATATGGTATAAAAGCATTTGCCAACTGTTGAGAAAGAGGCCTAGGCTCAAACTAAAATTTTCCTTTCTTTCCAAATTAATTCCAGTTCTTTTTTTAGTGGAGTTTTTTGTAGAGTTGTATTTAATCTTCCAGTCTTTCAGGAACACAGTTCCTCCAAACAGCACAGTTACACTTGGGTTGCAGATTCAATACAATTTAATAAGACATGAAATGAGATATGAACGGATTAGGTACTCTCTCTCAAGATTTAGTTCAGCAAAACAATAAATTAAATAATCTCCAAAGTGACTAAACTTTAGGAATTTTCATGGGATTCACCTCTCTCCAGGAAAAAATGGCAGGTAAGTGACAAGAAAACATTTGAAGAAAGGTGTCAAATGGAAAAAAACCCGCAGAGCAGTACATCATAGACTATTAGTTAAAATGCACATATAAAGAGAAAAATAAAGGAAAAAAGCACACACACAAGAGGAAGGAAAAGGTAACAGATTCTGCCAGACCCTGTAAGACAGGGAGGAGCATTTTTGCTTGTGTTTGCTTTTTGACCTACAACTTTTACAGTATGAAATTCAAGCCTTAGTGTAACAGCAGAAGTGAATTCCATTTCTGGCAGTGCGAGATGGGCATTAGTCACTTCCAAGATTATTTAGGCCACTGCAAGAGCATTCCTGTAGCGCAATAAATACAGAAGACAAAGAAGAAATGCAAGAAATCCTTTCACTGATAAGCATTTGGCATGGCATGGATTTTGCATGACGTCTATGAAGCTAAAGGTATTTGCAGGAATTTCTGCATTGTAAAAACCAGCATATTCTCTAGTCTAGCATGCAAATCATTACTGTTCCCAATAGACTTAAAAGAGGACAAAACAGTGGTTCTGCATAGCAGGTTGTTCTGAAAGAATCACGTAGATATATCATGGAGAAGTCCACAGGGAGAGAGTGGCTGAAGGAGCAGTACAAAAATACTATAATCAGCTTGAAAAGAAAAAGCAGCTTGAATTTGTTAGCAGAAAATATGGAGACATCATGTGAAATGATTCAAAAAGGGAGGGAAAACAGATGGTGGGCAGGGAAAATGATTTAAAGAACAGCATTTTGTATGGAACAAAGAAAATTGAGATCAGAGATCTGAACTCAGCTGAGAATGATTTCTCGCCTACAGTGAAGAGCTGCATATTGGAGACTCAGTCAGAAAAAAACCAATAGGTTCAAACCCAGAGGCTAGACTACTTGCTTTTCTACCTTGCAAGAAAAGTATTTCTGCCAATAACACTTGAGATGTGAAGTTCACATGAAGAAGGCAGGTCGGACTGAGTACCACACTGAGAGGAAGCGCTAGCTTCAATTAAAAGTAACTGCAATCTCACTGCCTTATTTTAATCGCCGTTCGGGACTGCTGGTTACCAGTGTCTGCACGCATGCAGCCTACAAGACCTTGCTTTAAAATAAAAATATTGACTAAATCAAAAAGAAACTGAAAAGTGAAACAAGAAGGGTTGTGAAATGTAGAGGCTGACATGTCATGGCGTGACTCCCTGCACTTCAGCTTACCACAAACACAGTAATGAGCCCCTGCGACCGCTTATTTTAATCAGCCACTTTCATTTCTACCACTGGTCAAATTTGTATTCTTTTCCTTCCTCTATAGTCCAGTTATTTAGAACTTTGAATGGAAAAGGAAAGACTTGACTGCAGTGATGGCCTGAGTCACTTTCCATCTGCTACTGTAATTATTTTATATGTAATCAGGTTCTTGCTCCCCAATTTTTCTCACACTTCTGTTACCTCATGCCTGTCATTAGATGTCAATATATAAATGGCAGTATCACTGCTTACCCAATACTGGGCATAATACATTATGTTTCATACATGCAGTTTTCAGACACAATTAGAATACAGGTTGCTACGGAGAAAAACAATTATTTTTTTCTTTGTAGTGCCATAATCTGATCAAATTTAAGCCATTCGTAACACCACAGTATTAGAAAAGAAAAAAGATAGTGGAAGTCAAATAGGAGTATCAACTACAACAGGATAGCTTGCCCAGCTAGTAAAATAATGTGTCTCATGATTTACTCATGTGGGCTTGTGAAGGAACGATACAGATCTCCTCTGTGAAGTTTCCCTTAGAGAAGAAAAAAACCTCAATTCCTGTAATTTCTCAAGATCCGTTGCGTTTCTGCTATTTGAAGTAATGTCATTGTTTTTTATTAGGATGGTGCTCGTATTACAGGGAGGCAATAATTTTCTCCTTATATTGCCCCCCATCTGAATAGAGCTTCTATGTTTTATTCAAGCTACAGTAAATATGATCCCTTTATCTAAATCCCTTAGCCTTGACCTCATATTTCATGTTTTCATCTAAAATTATGATTTTACCTTATGGGAAAAATGCACAAAACTTGGTTCTCTACTTACTGGTCTAGAATATACTGAATATCTTTATTTAACACCAGTACCATCATCATAATCAGACAAACTCAGTGGGGACAAATATTAAAAGTGTCCAAGTGTAGCAGAAAGCAGACTGTGGTTACTTTCATTGTTTTTAAAGTAATAAACGACAATGAAGGGTCCATGCCTGTGTAAAAAGATGGCAAAAGACACATGGTGCCAAGAGGAGAGACGGGGAATGTATTTCAGGACTATGATAAAAATATTGTGACACTGATCCTTAGATTTACCACAGCAATATTTCCTTCTGCACTTTAATATATAGTTTTACTCTGAGAAGTGAAATACGTCCCAAGTGGCACAGCTTGCCCAGGTTTAAATGATTTTAATTCCTCCAGGACCTTATGCGTAACATTTCTGACTGGCTAAGCTGCAGGTCTTCAGGGGCAGCCAGTAGAAAACACCAAGTACAGAAACTTCAGTGCAATTTAGGCTGGCTGAATCTGGGACCTATTGTCTTCTTAACTTCCAAGATGAATGTGTTCAAATTGAAAGAGAAAGTATAATTGCCTTTTTCTGGTAATTTCTGCCCTTCAAAACAAAAAACTGAGATGAGTTTGATAGATCACAAAAAGGCTTGGAATATCTAAATTTCACCTTCTCCTTGGTTTGGCTTTGGGTCCACATTAGTAAGAACTGTATGTATGTGTAGACCTTCCTGCACTTAATGGAGGAGCAAAGATTTACTGCTGGGTATGGCTTCTTCTTGAGTGGGCTGAGTATTTCCATCTTCCAAATCCACCCACTCATGAGACCAAATGATTTGGCACTTAATCCTTTTCCTCCCTCATAGTCCCCGATCAGTAACGAAACAGTTAACACATTGATGTAAGTAACCACTGAGAACATTCATCTTAGACCTGCAGCAACTCAGATGTCCTAACAGATGTCATGGCTTTAGTTCCATCCTGTTTGCAGTTCCAAAGTTTTCTTTGCAACTGTAAGAGCTAGATGATACAGGAATATGTGAAAACTTTGAAACCGTAAACGGCATGGAACCAAACGATGACATCTGCTGAGTTTTCAGAGAATCAGAGATGACAGCTCTGAAATGCGAGCTGCTCCAGCTGATGGTACAAATAAGATGCTTTCTGCTAGCCACAGGCTGTGATGCAGCTATAATTAGACCCCAGTTTCACACAGAGAATCCATTTTTCCTTGCAGGAGTTTTTATAGTCAGCTATAAATAATGAGAACTTAATTTACATTTCTGCTGTTAATGTCCAAGACTACAAGACAGTTTGATTGTTCCAATCTGCGCTGACTTCTCAGCTACAACTAGACTAAAAAACAGTAAGAAAGACTTGTCATTAAAACAAATCCACCGCTCCATGCACTTATATATAAGTGTAATTATACTTGCTACTTATATACTTACATATACACATACAAATATATATACTATATATGCACAAATGCATGCATACATACATATATATATCTCCTGATTTATACCAGAATGGGTGAATGAAATTCTTTTTTATGGCTATTATAATTCAAAACACCTGATCATGAAGTGGAAAGAAAATACATGTAAAATAATCTATGCTATCTCTTCCAAGTTCGTAAAAAATGTTGGGTATTTCATGTACAGAGTCTGATTTGGGATGTTTATGGTCTGAGAATCCAAAGCACAGATGTTCATTGGTGTTAATGACACCTCTGTGATAAAATGACACAAACATATAGAGACACCTTTCTGACTTACAGCTACCTAACAGTCCTCAGGACAATCTTTGCTTCTGACAGTAAAGGTATCAAAATTCATAAAAACTGTGTGCAAAGGTGTGAAGAACACCTTGTCTGACAGAAGAACTGCATCATAAAGAACTAAATATTACTGTATTCAAGAATAAGGAAGATAATACATTCCCCTCGCTTAAATATCCCCTCGAGTGCTCACTCACAAGATCTGTGACCCTCCTGACAGCAGGAAGCCATTTGCCTGTATATTCAACCTCATACTCGAACTGAGATGTATACAGAGGGTATTGTCAGTCATCTGTCTCCTATGCACAGTTGGCTTGCAAATGAAATAAACGTGATCAAATGGGTAGCATCTCTCAGCAGTGACAACAAGAATGCATCTACTTTTTTAAAACAAAAAATGCACATGGCACAGGCTGTAAAAAAAATCTCCTTTGCAAAAGTGCTGTTTTTTCTACTCCAGCTAATCAGTGCTAGTGCACCTGGTTCCTGAATATTTATGACAGTGACATACATCTGTTAAATGCTCAGAAATAATTAGACTTTGCTGAAGCAAAGCTAATGAATTCCCCTGGAACTCTGTGGCAAAATAAACAGATGAAAGGTATTAATAAGCATTCTGGATTCCTTTAAAAAAAAACCCAAAACAAAACACAAACCCAACAAAACCCACAAATGTTTTCTTCCAGCACTCATTAATACTTTGTATAGTGATCTGTAGTCCAAGATTTTCTGTCCTTACCACTGCAATTTCCCCATTTTCAACACTGCAAAATCCACACATTAACAAATCATGCAGTTTCATTTTACCTTTGCCTGCACCTACAGCAGGACGGAGAATACCAGCTTTAATGGAGGAAAACAAGAATAGGAACACTATATAATTAGATACAACACCAAAGGGAACATACATAAATAATTTCATTATAAACCATGAAAGCATGCAGACTAGATAAAATGTATTAATTCAAATAAATTAGAAACAATCCACTTATGCTGAACACTGACAGACTATAACAAGACAAAAATTAATATACATGCATTTACAAAATTTTATTGCTCATGCTTGTTAAGATTCATGATTTAAAATAAATGTAGTTCATATGCAACCTTAATACACTATTAGAGAAATTGCATTGCATACCAACTCATCTATGGCATTTCCAATAAACTATAATTTTACTAAGCATAAAAATATGTGAAAAGAAAGCATCAAAGTAGACTTTTAATATTAAGATGTGCACAATCATAAAGGTCATTCCCTCTAAATTTCTCCTTTGCTTTAAATTCCTCTTATTTTATTAAGCTTTCATATTTAAATAAATAACATCTTCCACACAAGAACTGCCAAAATCAGAGATCTAGAGTGGCTATAAATGTAAAAATCAATAGTGATCAGACTGAACACTATACTTTAAGAGTATTTAAACATTACACAATGTCACCAGTTATTTGGGGCCATAAATGACAAATTTATTTCTGCAGCTTTTGCGAAGTTACAGTTTTTGCCAGTTCTGTGAAAAAAAGTTTAGACCTCACAGAAGCTGTTGCATACTTCAAAGGAGAAATAATTTCCTCTAGTCGTAAAGCTGCATGACTTCACTACTGTTCTCTGTGACCAGAGAAGGTCAATGAAGCAGAATAGGTGGAGAAAGACCACTTAAAATGTAAAGTTACATGAAACCTTGAAGCCTAGAAAAGCCAAAATCTTAGGTCTTGTCAGTTTATATTGAAAAGAGGGCCTTTAAACCTCTTTTGGGGGCTTTCACTACAGTATAAAACCTTTGCACATCTTTTCTTAAAAACTATTATTTTTTTATTATTGTATAATACAGTTAAGAAAGCTCTAGAGAAAATTTTACTAGGGGCTGTTTTCTTAATGGAAGGAGGAAGTAGTCATTTTTAATAAAATTTGTAGTGTTTTGTAAACTCAGTGGGTTTTCTTTATACATACCCATCTTACCTTCATCCATAATTGTTACTGCTTCCTCAGTTATCTGACTTCCTGATCCAACTGAAGTTTGTGCATTAAAGTAAAACTTGTACCGTGTGCTGTAATTTAGATTTTTTAATATCAAGCTGCTCTCATTGGCAGGAATTCTTATCTCTACCAAGGGACCTAATTCATGTGTGTTGTTAACTGTTACAAAAAAAAAAAAAAAAAAAAAAAAAAAAAAAGAGTTGGTTAGGAAAATTGCCTACATTATCATTGTATCATTGTGTTAAAACAGGCTTTTTTTGTTTGTATTTATTTGTTTTGTTTGTCTGTTGCATTGTTCATTTCATGTTATAGGGATGATAATCTACAGTTTCAAAAGTAAGTCACCTTTCTTTAATAAGCACCTCTGCAAGAGGCTAAAATTCAACAGGGGATAGGAAACAGCTACAAGTTTTTTAAGTTCAAGTTCCATTCTTGTAAGTGTCTGGATCCAAGGCAACTGAGTCACATCAAATCATCTGAACTTATGCACATTTGATACACCAACTATTAAAAAAATGTGAAACTCTTAACTACCTGCCTCATAATAAATTCAGTACGCTTAGGAAAAAAAAAAAATACTGAAGTGACTCATGTCTAATGCCAAGGAACTGTGGAAGTTGGTAAGTGGAAGAAAACAAACTTCCTTATCCTGTTCCATGCAAATGAAACTCTTCATTTCCAGTGCCCCTGCTGACAAATTTCTGGGCAATGAAGCAGTGGCATGGGGATCCTAAGGAAGTGATTTATAGCTCTGATATGAGTAAATGCATATTTATAATTTTTTCATTTTAAAATTAGAACACCATGAAAACTGAACAAGCAGAGAACAATACCACTGAAAGTATTTTGATTTAGTTCTAATGATATTTTCTCTGCAGTTAGAATACAGAATTTTTAAGTGATAGTATCCTGCTTCTAACTTGTCTGTCAGTTATATGTAGGATTTCACCTCCATTTTTCTGTGAAGCATGGTTTGAAGAAATAAAATTAATGGACAAATGCTAACCTTGTACTTCAGCAGGTGAAGTTTTCCAGATAGAGTAATCTATATTGCCAAAATACATGAATCTTTTTCAAGCTCAAAATCTACAGTGCAATTCTATCTTTTGTACAGTATAAATATAATTTTTTCCTAATAAATGGATTGCTATTTGGTAGACATATTGTCTAAGTCAGAGTTAAGTATTCATAATTAACTTACTTGGCTGAAACTTCAGTATATATGATGTCAAAATACCATTTGGATGGGTTGGTAAACCCCACTCCAGAGTCAGAGAGTCCAACGTTGGGTTAGTAATCTTCAAAAAGGAGGGTGAGCTAGGAACTTTTAAGAAGAATATACAGTAAATACAAAGTAGATTAACTTAAAACAGCTCATGAATTATTAATTCTTAATAATATTACTGTGTTGAGAAAGATTATTATTTTATGAAGTCCAAGATGCAAATTCAGCAATTATACCCTTAGGGTTCTATTCCTGAATATACCACATTTAGTTTATTCTCTAGCTTTCTCATTTCATACCTCCTTCAGGGGTCTTAAATACTTTGTCTGGGCTTGCTGGTCCTTCTCCTTTACCATTAACAACTCTAACATTCAGCTTGTAAGAACTATAGGGCTCCAGCCCTGGCAACATTCCAAAAGTCTTGTTTCCCCTGAAAGTCAAGATCTTTTTTTCTACATGCCGCCTACTCCTTCTGGATAGACTCTGCACTTTCCAGTAGTAAACCTAAAGACAAAAGAAAATCTACAGTGAGTGTTCAGGTGTTCTGATTTTACAAACCCTTAAGCATTTCCATGAGTATCCATGAATTATAGGTAGGAATAACTGCAATTTTAATAAGCTCAGGTGAGACACAGCAGAGACCTTTCCTTGCTCCAGAAACAGACCTTGTCCAGAAAGAGTCATGTCTACACAACTGGGTGAAGACTATCACCTGCCAGTTCTGCTGATACTCAAAACCAGTTTGACACAAGTTCTGGTTTGGAACTGCATTAGTATATGATGGTTCTCATGTTAGCAAGTCCATCTGGGAGGCAGGTCTCATTCACATCATCCATTCTTGCAGTAAGATATAAGAGTCAGCTTCCAAAGCAGACTTGCACTTTGCCACCTTGTTATGTCACACACCTGACCGTGCTATTCCCTGTGATGTGGAAGCCACGTACATATTTTTAAATGGGAAAGAAACCAAAAGATTTGTCTGTGTTGGAAAAACACAAAAGTTCTGAAAGGACTCTGAGGTTACAGTCATGGAATGATCTCCACCTAGGGACAGGAAGACTATTCCTCCATTTATCTGACAATTAGATCAAATCACAAAGCTGATTCTGGTGTCCATTTTGCTGATTGAGTTTCTAAGAAACTACAGATGAGCCTCAGAGGTAATTATCTTGACTGCAGTCTCTTTATTACACAGTCTCTCTACCATGATATCGGGAAAGACATTAACAGTTGCCCCTACAAAGACTTGTGTTACTCCTAGGATTGTCACCTTCAAATACATCAAAGTTCATTTTTCACAGCATAATTTTCATGCATGTATGATCACATGCTAAAGCTGATAAAGCAATGTAAATGGGTAAACTTCTGGTTCCATTCAGGCCAACTGCAAAACACCTCTCTAATTAAAGAAGCTGGCATTTCACACATGAATTTGAAAAAGGGAACTGTTAAGACTTAGAAAGCCCAACTAGATAGCTTATCAAGCAATGTTACACTGACAGCAGCTTTTCATTGCTAACAACATATCATTTCACTCTAATCACTGTTAAGTGTCACTGAGTTTTACATGGCTTGAGCTAATGTTTTTCAACACCGCCAGCTGTCATCCTGTAGCTCTCATCCTACCAACGAATGTAGAAAGCCATTTACAAGCTAACAAGTGTTGGTACTATTAGTATTGAAACTCATCAGGTATAGTTCATGATATTTTAAGAATTGTTAGCCAGTGACTTTTCACAAAGCACATTATTATAGTTGGGTCATCATTTGCCACTAGCCAGGCTGAAATTAAAAGAGAGCTTTAATAAGCTGGGTTTGATAAACAGTGATTTGGAAGAGGAATATGACAGTAAAAGAGACTGCATCACATTTTTCACATACTGTTTTGAATAACCTCTGAGTTTACAAGAATAACAGGAAAAAATGGCAGCAGTAACAGTGAAAGGAATTATTTTTAAAATGTCTTCCTACATTTTAAATGCTTTATAGTACCACAGCATATAGAGTAATTTAGGAGCAAAATATGAGTGATGTGCTGCAGACAGCTGCTAGTTAGATGTCTTCCTGCTTTTTTCACACATTCGTCTTCCTGATATGACTCTTTAGAGAAATACCCCTCTCTCTATTACAAAATGTGTCCTTAATGCAACACTGCATATCAGGCTATCATCTGAAATAATTTTATTGATTAGGAAAGCTTGAGTTTGCTAGTAGGATTTTGCTGATGTGTTCAAAAAGAGACAGTTGTGCTTTGTAAGCTATGTCAATAACTAAGACAGTTAAGGCATACTTGGCATCCATAAGAAGTCTTCAGCTTGAACCCAGAGAAAGCTTTATAACAGTAACTATCCACTAGGGTCTTAGGACTTGTTCTGCCTTGTCTAGTTTTTAACCTGTTTTAGCTTGATTTAGCTGTACCTGCAAAAATTAATTAAGAAACTTCTGCTGCATCTGCAACTTACTCAGGGGTATACCATTGACTTGTTTGTCCTAGCTGTGACAGCAAAATTACTCAGTGGTCAGGCCTGTTGTCAATCCTGTGGTCTTGAGCTTGTTTTATTTACGATTATTGACTAACGTAGGTTCAGTTTTGCTTAGCTTTGTGTAATTTTGTGGTTCTCCTCCCCAAAGAAGAAAATCATACTGTATACCGAGAAGGACTAATACACTAAACAGAAGTAATCATGGCATGACTAACACCTTAGACTAACTGGAGAGGAAAGTGTGCAACCCATCAGCAAACAGAGGACAGAAAATAACCCTAACAGACTCCAAGTCTGAGGAAAAAGAAATCTCGATCTAAACTTGGGATGATGACAACTCACTGTAACCATGACTTTGACAGGTGAGAATTTAACACCTGATGTATGGGCAGACATTTGTGTCTATGGATTTTTTTTGGTATCATTAATGGTCTTTAACCATTAATTTGGATTATGAGTATTAGTGTTGCTGTAACTGGATTAATAATGAGCATTAACTTCACTAGAGTCTAACTCTTTAATCTGCACATAATGGATGCTTTCCTTCAGTTGCCCATTTGTGTGTGAAATACCAGGTGATATGAGACTGCCATCTAAGAGAAAACATCTAACACACTAGTAAGTCCTGTTTCTCAGCTGAGGTTATTATCTAGGGCAAAGCACCACACTAACTACAAATACTTATGCTAGCTCACACAGAACTAGCTTAAGTCTCTTTAGACGGTGGTATTTTGTGCCAGGTAAGTGACAACCACATATCAGGAACACACATTCATGTGGTAATCAGCTGTAACGCACTGAAGTTTGGTTTCAGTGCTCTTGAATGCTAGTCTTCCATTTTATGAGTATGATGCACATTTATTCTTCTCCAAGTACTCTTTACTCTTCATTTTTCAAATATTTCTTTTTCCTCCTTTCATTTAAACAGTAGTTTAAATTAGTCTGTCTTATAAAGTAACCTAGTTCAGGCTGTGTAACTAGTCTGTTTTGCTTATTAGTATACTTTCAGAGGAGCAAAGAAGTAATTTTTTTAAAATTTTCTTCTATTGTTGCATAGGAAGTCAGTATATCCTTTCATTCCACTCTTCCCTCCACAACCAGTCTACAGTTCTACAGTTTCCACTCTTGAGTTTCTTCTGATGGGCTTCTAGTGCAACCTCTGAAGCAACTTTTGCCATCAGATTTTCCCTGTCCTCCAGGGACACCAGTTTCCCCAGTTCCTAACCTTGAAGTCCTTCTGTCTCCCATTCTTTATTAATTGCAGTCTTTTTTCTCCAATGCAGCCTTCTCAGTTACCATCAAAGCCAGCACATTATCTTACACTAAGCTTCCTTCAACTATATATACACTCCAGATCTTCTGCCATTTCCTATCTCCTAAATTGAGCTTTTAAACTGAGCTTTTTCCTGGCCCCCCAAAAGACACAGCACCAAGCATAAGCTAGCAAGTGGCCACTTGCTCAGAATTAAAGATGTGATTAATCATATTATAGGAGATGATGAGTAAACTTAGCGTTAGACCTAGAAGACACTCCTACAGAAACTGTATCTCCTCATCCTCTAAATATCCTTTTGGAATAAGATCTGTAAAACTGTTATCATTTTTTTAATCTGTGTGTTAAACGTGTGCAAACTTAATTGCAAATGCATCCCATTTTTCTTTAAGGACAATGTCGCAGGAGGCTAGTACTACAAGGCTGGAACATTGCTGAACTTTAAATGAATTGTATTGATGCTGTTGCTCTTGTCAGCAAAACTTGTGAGCTCACTGAAAAGCAAGCGTCCCCTTATACGTCAGTTACTTCAACCTGGATACAGCCTCATATAGGAAGAGTGATCTATTTTAATAAACAAGGAACAGAAAGCTTTGGATTGTACTTACTTTGTAACCTTGAAGGTGTCCGCGGACAGTTTTTAGCGGAACTGGGTCCCAATGCACCTTTGCTAATGTGCTGTTAATAACATGAACCTGCACATTGCCTGGAGCAACCATTGGCACTGTGTGGAAAGGATGCAACAAGTACCTAGTTAGAATGAGACACCACACGAACATACTTTTCAGAATGATTCTTCTCAGTGCCCTCAAGGCATAGGTTAAAATGTTCCTATGTTAAAAAGCTGACCTCAGGATTAATATTACGGAGTATTATGAAGCCTCATTACCTCCAAATCACTTCATTTTAATTAAAAAAATAACTACTACCCCCCTTTTTCAATATTTTAGTATTTTAAATACCCATTTAGGTTACACATTTTGTTGCTTTTAGTACAGTTGAGTCAAACTACAAAACTTACAGTCTTCTCCTGAATGTCCAATCACCTCTGATGGCTCTGGTGCATATCCCAGGTCATTTAAAGCTTGCACTTTTATTTCATAGGGAACAAAAGTTGGTGTACCAGACACAATATATTTAGATACATTTGCAACTATAACAGATGTCCACTCATCATCAACATCTTTCTGACGCCAGCTGACTTTGTACTGAAGCCCTGGTCCATTAGACTGAAAACCTTTTAAAGACTGAAATGAAAAGAAATATTTTTTTAAATATTCTGAAGCATCTGAAAAATCCAAAGTCACAAAGGAAATATACTGATTCTTTAGAATTTTATTGAAATTTTACCACTGTGTTCTGTAACAGAGAAGCACTGCTGAAATTTCCAAGCTATGCAGATTAACTTTTACAGGACGTCAGTTCAGCTGCTTTTGATTCATTAGTAAAAATCACATTGAATGGTGATCCTGGCTAATTCTCATGCAACCATACATTGTGATGTCTGTATACATATTTTGTTTTCAAATATTTCTTGAGAAGTGGAAGAGGGGAAAAAATAGATTTACACTAACTCCGTATAAACAGTCTTTCAATGTTCTTAACAATGTTTCTTGCCTGGGATGGGAAATTGGTTTTACATGGCTCTCCTTGAGCTCCCGTCATGACGATAAGGGCATGACAGAGAAAAGTTTTTCCACAAAAGTGGAAGAGTGCACAATAATTTGGTTTATCACAAAAGTTGAAGGTAGAATTAGGATTCACATTAGAATTAATTCTAAAAATAAGACTCAACTTGAGATAAACCACCTCTTACATATTTGAGTTTTCCTAAATTGGCAGCAAAACATCCTGTATTACCACATTAATGGCTTATCTTGAGAAATCACTCAAGGAAAGTACAGCACCTTAATTTTTTATTTTTTTTTTTTTTCATAATGCATGCAGCTTTTCCCTGAAAATGAAGATGGGGACTTTCAACTCTTTTTCAAGAATGCGTTAAGCAAGGAAAGCACTGGGTATTCTCATACTGTGTTCACAGTTAGATCATCGTTATTTCTCTAAACAAATGCTACTCACAGACCTGAAAATAAACAAATGAAACCTCAAAAAAAAGCTTACCTCCCATGTTATTACCAAATTATCAGGTTCTGAGCCTATCCCTTGTACATTAGAAGGATTTTCATCAGGGTCTAAAAATAAAATATTTACACGTGAACAAGGATGACTGCTGTTTGCATTCCAAGCAAATTCAATACCTTTCATAGTATAAATCAATAGCTGATAAGCAGGAATAATTATTTACTTGCAGATTTTGTAAGGTACTGCTCAGATGGTTCACTCGGCTGACTTCTGCCAATCTCATTGACAGCTATCACACGGAATGAGTAGTTGACGTATGGAGACAACTTCAACTGTACTGTTGTCTGAGTTCCAGGAACTTCCGTCTGGTAATGCCATACCCCTGGTTCATGCAGCCCATCTTCATATTCAATCACAAAGCCTGTAATCAGAAATTGAATCCAACTTTATGTCAAAACTTGCAACACCTTCTTAGATCAGTGCAGGCATTTCTAAATGAGCTAATCAGAAGGGAGCGATCCAATCATTGTTTTTAAAAATCATGGAAATGAAAATGTAACTACATAAACCAGAACAAAAATCTATTATGTGGATCTCAAAAGTACTGCTGAGGTAGAAATACAATAGAAACACTCTTACTTTTATTATTTGGTATTCTCACTGATGCAGCAATCTGTCAGGAAACACATCATTACAAGAGCTCTCTCTCAGGTACCGGATTTTAATGTAATAGGAACCCTTGAACTATCACAGCAAGAAAGTGGGACAAGGTTGGAATTTCAATGTAAAAATAATATTCGACTGACAAATATATTCGTCTTAGTTGTATCAAGCTGACAGTAAGTAGCACCTGTACAATATTAAAACTCTCTGAGTATTCCATTTGCCCCGGTGAGACTGGCTTAGAGAAGAACTATTTAAAGTCATGAACATGAGGAAGGTTTTTGAGAGCACTTTTCAGTATCTTCAAATTAAGTCAAGGAATATATGTACAGAAGCTAAATTTCTTGAGAGTTCTCTGTGTGAACATTACGGTGATTGCTGTTAAGACCCTACAGAGTATATAACCTCAGGGATAAATAGGTTTGTAGAACTCCAAAAAGAAAATCATATTCATTATCAAAGACAAAAGGACATTTTTTCAGCTGTGAAACAGCCAAAAAAGCTTCCTTCTCTTAGGTACGAGATATAAATTTTGAAACACTTAAGGGGAATTCTTAGGGTACAGTAAATAAATGGGAGAAGAATGCATAGACCAAGTACATTCCATGGAACCTTAAGTTTAGATATACAAAATTTAGATGGGCATCAAACGTTTGTGTGTTGTGTAACAAAAACATTGCCTGATCTCATCAATAGGTGGGGACAAGAAGCCAGAATATGACCCAGAATACATCCTGTTTGCACTACTAAAGAAATTCTGAGAGGCATCTAGAAACTGCTTTTAGAAGAATACTTAGAGGACCACACAGAATTACTCCACAATAGTTTGAGGAGCCAAGATGTTCACCAAGTAAGATAGATAAGTAATACTAATCATAGATGTCTGGACTTAAGGCTTGCAGATTTCATCCTGACCTGAGTATTAAGAAAGAGGGAGAACTGGCCCCAAATTACTGCCTGAGTTATAGCCGGTGTTGTGTGCTCAGAGATAAAGGTCTTGGGACAGGATGTTTTCTGGACCAAAGTCTTTATTGAAAAGGTGAGAATATTACATACTAAAAAAAAAGCACTCACAAAGTTTTCACTACTGCTTTTTGCTTCCCTAGTAACTAGTATTCTGCCTGCAACTCTAGTAGAACAATTTATAGGAGACTTCAAAGGGAAAAAAAAAAAATCTATTTGAGCTTTCAGAGAGATTGCAGCATGTCAATCATATCACTTGTGTAAAGGGATCGCTCATAATGAAGTGCTATCCTTCAGTCTTGATCTGCACTTTGAAGTGATAGCAGCAGCAGCAATAATAGGCTCACTTAGGAAGCAAATGCCTTATTTTGCAAGCTCTCAGGGGACCACACAGCAACATAAATTGTATCCTAATTAAAACCAGCATTATTTAGTCAGAAGAGTTCAATTTCCAGTATCAGAACGCATGCAAAATCTTTCTTCTAGAAAAACTCTGACATGAGCCAACACCACCTTGTATCATCTCTTTTGAAATGGTGTGATCTTATTCCTATAGAAAGGCAAGACTTGTGCCTCCTGGTCTGGAAAAAGTGAAGACACTGATACAAGAGTATATGAACAAGCCATGACTTAAACACAATTCAACTATTGACATTAAACTTCTATATATTATATTTTTAGAAGTATATTACTAGTTGATAGACATTAGACAAGTCAGAAAGTGTAAAACTTCTGCAAAATCCCTTGGCGTTGCATTAATATGCAATCAAAATCTTTGATGTGTTCTGAAATTTGTGGAAGACTGTTTTTACAAAACTTCCTTTCCAGGTGCCTGATCCTTATGGTTTGTGTTCAGTGTTGATACTGACCAGCATCAGGCCTTGGAGATCAACACTCAGTATGTCAGCCTAACTCATTCACTGGTCTTGGTAACTTGCGGCATCTATTAACTAAAAATACACCGCATAAATAATTAAATAATTACATTAAGTTGCTTATAATGAAAAAGTTGCGCCAACAAATCTTTCTGATCCTATTATTTTTTGGAAAACAAACAGTAACATCCTTCTTCCTTCCTCCTAAATTCCCTCTTCATCCTTTCCGCTTAATATATCTCTCATCATGTTCTACTGGGAGGAATAATAGCATTTTAGATCAACTTCCTGTCTCAAAAGTTTATAGATGTTTGTATTTTCTGTCTTATGGACATGCTTTATTACTTCAACTGTCTGGACTAGAAAAAAAAAATAGAAAAACTATCTGCCTTATATTTTCATGAAGAATAAGCTTCTATATCAGTAGTGACAGATAATCCCTAAAATTATTCATCCTGATGCTATTTCATATTCACGGGAAGTACAAAAGACTTAATGCAAGATGTTAGTAGCTCTCTCCTTCAGAAGCACACAACTAATGACCAAGTCTACTCTCTACATATTCTAAGACTGGACCTTGTCAGACAGAGCTCCTATCAGTATCAACTTGGATGTTAACTAGCACAGGTTTTTGGATCAAAAGCCCAGCTCTTTAAGGCAGTACATAAATTGTTCTGCTAGGCTGTACAGTAGAGGACTTTCAGTGATTTTTTATTATATAAATAAATGGCAACTGTAGCGAATTAATTTACCATTCTTCCATGGTGAACACAAAATTAGCCTCAGAACTCTTTGGAATCTGAGAACACTTAACGTAATGCATCAGATACAAACAAACTTACTTGTAATGGGACTGTTATTTTCATCTCCTGGTATCCATGAGAGTTCAACGCTTCTTTCTAGCTGACCTGTCAATTCCAAGTCAAAGGGTGGATTTGGCCGAGCTGTAAGTCAATGAACACAAAGTAAATAATCACACCAGAGTACGCAGTTTCATCTTTGAAAAAATCCTTACATTCCAATCAAAAGAATTCCACAAATACAGCAGGTCAGATCTACTCACTTATGTAAGCATGACTTAATGACCATTAGTACGCAAGTGTTACAAAACAGAGATAAAATGGAGAACTGATGTATCTGGAAACTTCCAGTTAACAAGAATCTATATTTGATTTTATCTACGTCTGATTGCACTGTGATATAAAAATGTAATGAGATGCAAAGAATTACAAAATGCATGTTTAGTTTATCTTTGAATGATTATGGGTGGTTATCTCTTGTAACTAGAAATATTTAATAAAACATGGAAAATAAAGAAGCATTCACATCAAAGAAGCTTTTCTAGAATTACTACAAATGTTTTGCATGTGAATTCAAAACAAGTACAGTTCAAGTAGAAACTAAATGCAAGTTGCTAAGTTATTTATTTTTTGCTGTACTTTTAAAAAATCCTGAAATACCATGAAAGCTGTTAATTTACATCCTTAAAATGCATAAAGATGTAATTGTCCATTCCAAACTGCTGAAAAGAATGCATTATATGATTTGTTACACAAAAATCAAGACCAATGAGTAGCTTCATATAAGAATACATAAGCATTATCACTGAATGTGATAGGATTTACATAAAAGTGCTTAAGATGCTCAAAAGTGTTTTAGGCATATTGTATGGCGTTCTAAAACCCAAATTCAGAAAAAATGCTACCATATTAAAGGCTGTACAAAAAACTGTCAAATTTAAAACTGTACCTGACCCGACAGATTTTTCTTGGCATTTCAGATTCAATTTTAAAATCCTTATTAGCAATTTCATCAGTCATAAACCGAATTGGTCAATATGTTTCTATCCATTTTATGAGAAAAGTAAAATGAAGATAAACTGTGAAATAAAGTACACCGGGTCTACAAAGCTGTCATCAAAAGCAATGTAAAAGCTTACCATAATTTGGTTGGTGCAAGTTCTTTGATAGTGAATTAGCTTTCAATAAACAGTTGGATTTACCTTTTAGATCTTTGATTTCTTATATAACTAATTTGCATTACAGTGTTCTCTATGACAAAAACTTTATCACACTGTAACCAACCTTAATTAAAAATAATTTATCTCTGAAAACCATTTATTCCCTAAAATACAAAGCAGCCTGTCCTGTACTCTAGAATTACAAAGTCCAGTACTCCAGTAATGAAGCAGTTGGTAAAATGGGATGAAACCACAGACACACGCACACAAACACAGGAAAAAGGGGAAAAAAAAAGAAAAGATGTTGCACTTTGCAATAGGCAAATGAGAAATATATCTGGCAGATGATGTAGAAAGAGAACTTTGCATTAGTTTACCGTAAATGATAGCTGGAGTTGGGGGAGCAGCTGAAAAGAACATTAATATAAAGGATTTAATCAGTTAGTAGCCAAAGAAACAGAATACTGTAGGTAGTTAAAGACTATAATTATTAGAGACAAAGAAAAGTTAACTTATTGAGAGTAAATGGTTGATTTTAAATAATATATTGATAATTTTTCACTGAAAAGTTATAAAAGTATTCTTGAATAGTTTACCCATTTTTTTTAATAAAGATAGATCGAGAAAATAAATAAAGTAAGCAATTGTATAAAAACTTTTAAATAATTCCTAGGTGTTTGGTGTTTGTAATTCCTGGATAGACAAAAGATCACAACACAATTTTAAAAGACAAGCATACCTGACTTTGAATCTCAGCTTGAACTCAGGTAAGAATCATTCAGGACATTTACTTAAAACTTTCTTACAAACTGGGAGAAGGGGCAAAGTAACATATTTTACAACAGTCTGCAATCACAGAAACTTAACAGAGAGAACTAATCTAACAATAAAATCCTTGAAAAGTCATACAACGAAGCACACTCAGTCTTTCTGAAGCATAATTTAGCTGTGATAGATATTCCTGAGATAACTTTTATGTTTGAATACTCTGCAATATGTAATCTACTGTGTTAGCTCAGATGTGATCCAAATAAAAACCTATACAGCATGAAACTGAATGTGTCCTGTAGCTACTGGACCCTTTTGTAAATAGCTGATATAAAGGCAAACTTTAGGGTAAGACTATATTTTTAAAAATACTTAAACATATTTACAAATAAGTAACATTTCCTTTGTTCTGTCCTAGAAACCGAAATTGTGTTTGTACTTTTCATTTTAAATCTAATCCTGTTTTCATACTTAACAGTAATTAAACATGGTTCTGCTGTCATAAAGGTTGAGAGTATTCTTACCAACAACAGTAAGCACAGCACTTGCTGAAACACTGTCCAGAGTAGTATTAACTATGCAAGTGTATGTTCCATCATCTTTATCAGTTACATTCATAATGGTCAAGTTGTCTTTACCAACTAGAAACCTGTAAATACAACAGATTCAGCCACTGATTTTTCAACAACTGGTACTGTTATAAGAAACTTGCATGACACATTATCAAATCCCGTATACTTGTGTATTTCAGCAAATACCTACACAGCGACGTAAGCTATGGGACTAGGACAGCCTTTTCTACATCACCCTTGACCATCTTCCCACAGTAACTGTCTATCCTAATGTGCTTTTATTTCCAAATATACTAAAACAACTTTTATTTATCTGAGATCTAGAGCAAAAGATACTTCCATTATTCCTTTGGCTTCTTATGCCAATTATCTTATCCTTACAATTGATATACGTGGTCACTGTGCAGAATTAAAAATTTTTACATCTCACTGTATTTTGAATTCTATCTTAATATTTTCACCACACCAGGTAAGTCCTTTAGTCATCAAATATGGGCTAGTGATGATACCTATCAATCGTCATTAGAAAATGTCAATAGGTCAATATGTTCCTTTCAAATATCAGGAAAAGAAGCAGCCAAAAGAAACTAGAAAATGAAAAATAAAGGAAAATTATTTTGTCCATACCTTTCATCATCTGGCAGTTCACCATTGTCCTTTAACCATATAATTGTTGGTAATAAGGTAGTATCGTGTTTTATTATACACTCAAATGAAACTTGGCCATATCTCTGAATCACTTTGTATTCTGGCTGTTTAATTATCATTGTTGGATCTGAAATTTAAAGTTACTTTTAGATATTTAGGAAGTCTGAAATTCTACACTAACCTGTGATGAAACAGTGATTCGTTTCTTACCTTTAACTTCCAATTGCACCTCATTTTGTATCTTTCCCAATTCATTCCTTGCTACACATGTGTATGTACCAGTACTATCCTTTTGAGCCACCGGAATTTCCAATGTTCCATTATCATGGAAAATGTATTCACTTCCACGCAAGATGCTACCTTTCACTCCCCTAAACCTTTATATAAAAAGCAATATCATTATCCAACATCATAGTTAAATGCTGTTGTATTTTATTATCAGCAGATGCAAACTTGGGACTGTCACATTGCAAAATACAAACAGACTCACATCATGAAATTTAAACTTCAGTCTGTAGGGATAACTTAACTGTTGTTACATTAAGTATATGTAATATTGTATAAGCTTACTGTAACCAGCATATATTGAAAAATAAACTATTTTAAATTGCAAATAGAGTAAAAATAGTTTTAAAGCTTTAAATGTTTGTTTCCATAGATATAACTTTTTATATAAAAACTTAAGCACAACAACTATAGCTTACCATTCAATTTCAGGCTTAGGTGAACCAAAATAAGCACAGTCTAGCAATGCAGGACTATCTGCAATTACTTGATACAGTTTATTAGCAGGAGTTAGAATCCTTGGTGGCTCAGCTGAAAAGACAAAGATATCTGGATATAGACAAAAAGATGCAAATACAAAACACTAAGACATCAAGAATAGCCTAAAGAATTGACATCCTTCTCTGAAGTGATTTCTGGTCTCAGTCTAGGTCCAAATAGTGCCAAGCTACTGCCAGTAGCCTGAAAAAATGTTAATGTAGGATAATTACCATGTGAAAAACAAATGCTTCTTTCCTGTTTACAAGTAATAGGGATGGGCACGAAAGGCAAGGATTTCATTTGGAAAACTTAAATCAGAATATACTTCTAGAAGAGAAACTCCTGAGAACGGACTGAACTACATAATTCTGAACAAACCTGCAGGCAGAAAGAAGCTAAGATGTATTTTTGGTGAAACACCTACATTTTTTAAAGGAACTATGCAACCCAAGTGAGTTCTTTCATTTAAAAGACAGTGTCTCTCAATCAGAAGATCTGCCAGTTCCTGCAGGAGAGTCTTTAGAGGCCATTCTGCCTAGGATTTTGCTACTAGCTTTGTTAAATTCAGTGAGAATTAGAGAGGACACAATATCTTGTAACTAGAAACACATTCTTGGGAGGCCTTCAAGACAAATGAATAATCATGTCCCCTTGCAATAGCAATTTAGAGATCATCTATTTAACAGAATCCAAACACCTGCAATTAATAAAAGTGCACTGAAATATACTAACTTAAGGAATATTAATTCCTGTTATGCTTCTGTTTGCTTGATTGACATAAACAAACAAACAGAAGAGATAAAATTTCTTCCAAGGTTTCTCCAGCTTTCACAACTATCATTCCTACTTAGAAATAGGAATATCCTACAAAAAACAAGGTATGTATATCCTTGCCTTTCACAGGGCTCATGAAATACATCCATTCCGACTGAAGACTTCAAGCAAGGCTTGAGCATGCAGTCTGTGTAGTAAAAGGAAACAACTGAATACCCAAGAAAACTGAAAAACATAAAATCTGTTTCTTACCCAAAACATTCACAAATGCATTTGCTAGTAAGTATCCGTATTCATTAGAAGCATTGCACTGATAGACAGCACTTGACCTTTCTTGCACATGTGAGAAAATAATGGTATCACCATCTACCTTTCTGCTAGGATCTTCTGGGGCAACTGTTGGTGTAAAGAAAAAAAATAAATTGTTTTTCTTAAACAGCTGTTGGTTGATGTTTCACACTTCTGAAAAGAAGAAACAATCTGAAAGACCAATACGCCCTTTCTTCTATTTTCCTCGGTGATTGTTCACTGTTTAAGAGGTGAATTTCAATATGATTAAGGAAGTTCTTCCAATTCTACGAATATTTAACTCAGGATGGTAGAGTTCCCATTTTTTGAGGGTCTGTTGTTTGTTTTTCAAAGAAGTGAAGCTGAGATCATGTTTTGCATGCATTACAGAGGAAAAATACTGATATTGCAAGATTCAGACAAATACGATTTTTAGAAAAAATAAGGAAATATTTCTGAGTCTCAAAAGAAAATTATATTAGAAAGACATTGGAACTTTGCAATCTTCTGTGACTTAAAGGTTTCAGCTTTTCAAATCAGTTGTTATACCATAAATAATTATCCAAATATATAAAAATAACCTTACTCAGTTGAAAACTACCTCAGAGTAAAACCAAGTAATTCTTTCACACAAAATCGTCTTCACGAGAGCAGCGATATTAACTCAACCGTTCTGTAGTAGCCTGAGCTGTCAAACAGCTCTTGCATCCCAGAAGAATCGAGAAAATAACTGAAAATAAAATTCTGAGATATTACTGAAGAATAATAGCTGTCAGTTATGATACAACTGGATGGAGTTAGAGAAGTGTAACAGAGAAAAATGCACAAACTACAGTTCAATATTTTAAGGAAATATTAAATCAAAACACATAAATGCATTATTAATATTGAAACTAAACAGTGACATTATTTATGTTTTAATATTAACAATAAATGCATATATGAATAAATAAATGCATCATCAAAATTGACACCCTAATATGTTATTGGAACTTGAGAAAATGTATTTGTAGAAGGCGTTTTCATAGAAAATCACTTCTCCTTTCTTTGGAATCATAGAAAACATCAGTTAACTAAATTGACATTAATTTCTTTAAGTGGCAAAGCCTTTTGATTCAGACAATTTCTCAGTACTCAGCTGTAAAGAAAAAGAAGAAATTTCTCCTACATTTTCTCAAATCTACTGAAGTATCTGTTACTGAATTCTCCAAGAGAAAAAAATGACATGGGACAAAGGAAGGGGATCACAGTTCTGTGCTCCTGCTTAAAGGTATTTCTATCTTGGGTGAACTCTAAGGCCATTTTGCATGTAAAGTAATTACATTAATTTCCAAACAGACACCTCAAGAACAGTTTTTGACTCAATTTTTAACTCTTACCTTCCATCACTCTGAGTTCAAATCAATATCACAAATTAAAAAATGTTGGAAAGGAAGAAAAAGGTACTACCAGAATTTTAAATGCTTATTCTCTAGGCTTCTGGATTGCTGGCACTTATTTTTCTCCTCTTTTTGCTTTACTTCCTATTGTGTTCCACGTTCCACATTGCTTCCTATTCTATATAAATGCCATTTTCATTAAAATATTCATGGGCTGAAAATAGATGTAGCAGGTGAGTAGCCCAGCAGGCAGGCCAGTCAGCTGTGAGAAGTGGCCTGTTTCCACAGACAAATCACTGTTCCATGGGAAATGCGCACAACCGCCCTCCTAGGCGGCAGGAGATCAGCCCATGGGCTGATCCTACCATGGCTGCCTCCTGCCCCAGGCTCTGGGCTTCCCTCCCCTGCTGCCCTCTGAATCCTGCAGCATCTTTTCCACACAGAGCGAGCATTAACGGGTGCACAGGCTCCCCCCCTCACTCACCCTCCCATATATAATACCTTACAGGCTCACGGTAGGGCCCCTTCAGAGCAATGGAAGCCATTAGTTCAATCCTCTATCATTGAAGAAGGAATTGGATCTTAAAAGAATGATCTAACCATTAAATTATCATATAAAAAGAAGGGTAGCACCTTTACTTCCTGCTGCTGTACTTCAGGGGAAAAAAAAAAAAAAAAAAAAAAAAAGAGATGTCCCTCTTCATGTATTTGAAGGAAAGGAGGTAGGTACCTGTTCTCAGAAAAAGGCTTCAAGCTGTGGATCCCAAGAGGAAAAAAAATAAACCGAGGACAAGTGTCAGGTTAGTCAGTGCTTCCTTTTGACTGGTCTAGGCACTGGCATTCTGAAGGGCACCAATTTTAGAAAGCTCCCCGTTGAGACTGGCATCTATTCAACAGTCTGTCTTCTGACATACCTCATCCTCCCATGCAGCACCAACAGAACCTACATGTCTTTGCCCATGTATTACACTGTGTTTTGCAGGGCCAGGCCCTTAAAGTTAGATAATGTATCATCCAGCTGTTTTAGTGACCTTAAGTATGCACTGCTGCACTCACACACACAGAATGGTTGAGGCTGGAAGGCACCTCTGGAGGTCATCTGGTCCAACCCCCAGCTCAAGCAGGGCCATCTAGAGCTGGTTGCCCAGGACTGTGTCCAGATGGGGGAAGGACCACTCCCCTTGATCTGCTGGCAATACTTTTGTCTAATGTAGCCCAGGATAGAATTAGCCTCTTTGCTACAAGGGCACATTGCTGGCTCATGGTCAGCGTGGTGTCTACCAGGATGCCCAAGTCCTTTTCTGCTAAGCTACTTCCCAGCTGGGTGACCCCCAGCATATACTGGTGCCTGGGGTTGTTCCTCCCCAGGTGCAGGACTTTGCACTTCTTGTTGAGCTTCACGACGTTCTTGTCAGCCCATTTCTCCAGCCTGTCGAGATTCCTCTGGTCTGTCAGCCACTCCTCCCAGTTTTGTGTCATCAGCAAACTTGCTGAGGGTACACTGCCACACTATCCAAATCGTTAATGAAGATGTCAAAAAGGACTGACCCCTGGGGTGCACTGCTAGTTACTGGCCTCCAACTAGACTTTGTGCCACTGATCGACACTCTCTGGGCCTGGTCATTCAGCCATTTTTCTGTCTATCTACCTCATTGTCTGCTTATCCAGCCCATACATCAACAGCTTGTCTGTCTTATGGGAGACAAAGTCAAAGGCCTCATTGAAGTCCAGGTAGATAATAGTCACCACTCTTCCCCTCATCTACCAGGCCACTCATTTCACCATACAAATGTATCAAGTTGGTCAAACATGACTTCTCCTTTGCGAAGCCACACTAACTACTGGGAAGGAAGTATATACCTTTGATTGTGATTCTGTAATTTGCTATTGTTTAAAAAAGCTAACAATGTGAAAATCATCATTCCTGAGATCAGAGTTCCTTGTGTTGTTACCACATTCTGAAACACAACGAAGTGAAAATGAGATCCAGATGAAATCAGAAGTTCCCAGCTCTGCTAACTTAGACCCCAGGTCCCAGAGGGCACTGAAGCATGATGTAACCTAAGGTAGTATATATTTTTTTCCAGAAGCACGTTGTGGATTACAATCATAGCTTGTAGGATATGTGAGTACTAACTGTTTCTATTCTATAATGAAAATGCTTATGTCATCCTCAGATGTTGTACTAGAGACTCCCTCTGGCTGAAAATAAGCTGGACAAGAAGGGGACAAAATGACTTGACTGCTTTTCCCTGTATCAATGAGAACACATACATCTTTGCCATGTGTAAGAGCTAATCTTACTCAGATCAGTAAAATGTCACAGAAAAATACAGTGAAAGCAGAGAATAATTTCTCTTTAAAAGAGAGTGGCAATATTAATTACTGTCTTTAGATGCCTCATCTTCTTTAGCAAATCAAAGTTATGAATCAAAAGTAACCAGTCCTGCTATGCATTCACAGTGGCTATATATGATTGTTGGAAAACAAATGTAGTAACACAAAGTCTGGTGTTTAAGTGTTATAGTGCTTAGTCACTCATTTCTTTAGCAAAGCTGAGCTATCATTTTGCATCAATAGAAGAATATTAGTTTCTCAGAGAAGCTGTGACAATTATTTGACTTAGATTTTTATACATAACATTTGTTGTTGTAATTCTACTACTACTATAATTCTATTACAAATAGTAGTGAATGTAAATTGGAGCATGAGATCAGTACTAACTCTTAAGCCATGAATTTCAACTCTAACTTCAGAGATAACTTTGAAGACCCTGTGCCCTGGTTTCAGCTGGGATAGAGTTAATTTTCTTCCTAGTAGCTGGCAGAGTGCTGTGGATTTAGTACCAGAAGAATGTTGATAACTTACTGATGGTTTAGTTGTTGCTGAGCAGGGCTTACACCAGTCAGGAACTTTTCAGCTTCCCCTGCTCTGCCAGGGGCACAAGAAGCTGGGAGGGGGCACAGCCAGGACAGCTGACCCCAACTGGCCAAAGGGCTATTCCAGACCATAGGACATCATGCTCAATATAGGAACTGGGGGAAGAAGAAGGAAGGGGGAGACTCTCGGAGCAATGGCATTTGCCTTCCCAAGTTATGCGTGATGGAGCCCTGCTTTCCTGAAGATGGCTGAACCCCTGCCTGCCCATGGGAAGTGGTGACTGAATTCCTTGCTTTGCTTTGCTTGCGTGCACAGCTTTTGCTTTCCCTATTACACTGTCTTTAGCTCAGCCTGTGACTTTTCTCGCTTTTACCTTTCCGATTCTCTCCCCCATCCCACTGTGGGGGGAGTGAGTGAGCGGCTGTGGGGGGTTAGCTGCCAGCCAGGGTTAAACCACGACACCCTGTTATTGTGGAAATACATGAAGAAAGCAAAGATAGAAGGTTAGGTGCTTTTTTTGTGGTATGAATGCAGAAACATATGGTCCTTGTATAGTGATGCTCACGTATGCTTTTCAAGTTCTGACAGGATCACAGAATCATTTGTATTATAGTAACTTTTGCTAGAAGTATCCTATCATTCTTCTTGACCTGCTTATTCTTCCAAAACCTCATATTCATGAGCAATTTATGAGTACGGTAACCATTTTCAAAACTAGAAAAGTCTTTCTGTGGTTAAAACTAACTACAGTTGAATGACTGAAATGGGATTTTTTAAGAATCATTTGTATAATTTTGGACATCTGTTTTCAGATAGATTAGCTACAACACAAGGAGAACGTGACAGAATCAGGACTTAACATTATCAGCCAACCAGCCAAGAAAACTGTGAGGTACATCCAGTGCGTAGTCTTCAAGATGGCTTGATAAGAAGCTATGTCCCTTATTGGAAGGACCTCCTGGTTTTCTGTAGGTCATGAACCATACAGTCTATGAATGACCATCCAGTTGACATTCTTCTGGCTGTAGCTGACTTTCCTCATAACATTTGAAAGCCCAAATCAGGGGCTATTATGCAAGCCAGACCTGTTCTCTCACATCTCTCATCATATTAATGGTTGGACTTGATGATCTTAAAGGTCTTTTCCAACCTAAACGATTCTATGATTCTATATTGCCTAAATACCCTATTATGCATTAAGAGAATGTTATGTGATTAGAATCCTTTTTTCTTTTTTGGGGGGTGGGGGGTGGGGAGAGGGCAGCGTCTGGAAGCTATGCTTTTGGAGTTGAACACAAAATTGGTACTGAAATAGCTAGTGCATCAGACACTTGAGAACCTATGGGGTCAAACCAAGACTGAACCTAAGCAAGAAAAACAATAAACCTAAGTAATCCATTTTTGCCTTACTCTACCCCTTACAGTGAACTGACAAAGACTTAATTCTTGAAGAGATAGGACATAGAAGAAAATTCCTTTTCCTTTCCTTACCAATCTCTCTCATTCTTCAGCAAAATAGTTTCCTGTGATCACTGAAATCCTTCTTTCCAAGTTTCTGATTCTGATAGTACTATTATCTCCAAAGGGACAGCAGGTTATTACCTGCACTACCCATGACCATCCTTTGACTATCTTGTGCAGAATAAAAAAAACCCTGATTATCAAAGGTTTTCCTATCTGCCACAGTTCCTAGGCCAGATGCACAGTTCCAACACAATGATAGCAGAAGCAGTGAATAAATGTCTGCCCTGGCAGTCCTCTCCTCTCCGAAACTGAAATTCTCGGGGCATCAGAGTCCAGCAGATTTCTCCCTGCCCTCCCATGGCTGTGGTGAACAGCCTGGGTGTGTACTCAGAACACCATGGATGACGAATCTCTGAGCGAGGGATTATCAAGGCCCTTCATGAAGGAAATCTAAGGGCTAATGTTTCTCCCTTAAATTCAATGTGATTACTAATGGAGACTAACTAAAACCTAAGAGTCAATGCGAAATGTGATATAAACAAGTGAAGAACATGTTGAAAGAAGATAAATAGTGCCTTTCAGTGCACTACTTTGTATAAACGTGTGTGTATTTAATATTTAATAGTTCATCATGAACTATAAACCACTGAACCAATAAATTAGTCTTTTGTGCAGTATTTGCAATGCCTTTCTGAAGTCCAATTATGAAAGTGCTTCCCCTTCCCAATTAATCTGGGTTGTTAGTTTCTTAAAAGTTGAGATACTTCATGCATGGTTTCCCTTTTGTAAAACCATGCTGGATATCTAAGCAGTAAAACACAACGGATTATGCAGCGGTATAAATAATGCAGATCTTGAGTGTTAATTGAAGCACAAGGCAAGGCAGAGTCATGGCCCGAACTTTCAGTTGCTACTTGCCAAAGTAATTCTAATTGACCTCAATGGGACTGTGCATGTGAGTTCAAATTACTCCTGTGAGTAAACATTAGGAGGTTAGGTCCTTATCACTCCAGCATGTCTGAAGCTGCTTTCTTTTCAGACATGTTGGAGTTTTTCTTTTAAGCGTTAATGTTGAAGAAAATTAATTAAAATATTTCAAAGAAACCTAAAATCTCCCTTTAAAAATATCTTTTTACTCTGATTAATATAATCTGGTACAAAATTTACACCACTGCAATTTTTTTTTTCCATAGGTGCTTAAGACACGCTACATTTTTCTTTATTCTTCCCTTTTCCCTTTTGGTATTTAAGCCTCACCCTTTGACTGAGATATGGACGAATGGTTCTTTCTTCAACATTCCCCCTTCCTTGTCTGACTCTATTATGGAAAAACAAAACCGGAAGAATTAAACATCTCCCAGTTGTGCTTTCCAATAGAAAATTAAAGTATTGCAAACAGATTACTGGGCCACAGGAGGCACATTGTGGTATATACGATGACAGCAGGCCTTTGAAATTCAAATGTAACTCTTTTTCTTTGAAATCCTGCCATGGGTGTAGCGCTCTCAGCACTGCCCTGAAGCTGAAACAGCTGCTTTAGTTTCCTTTTACAGTGATTTACTAATCATTCAGTTGGAAGAAGAGGGGCTCAATTCTATAATTCAGTAACAAGTGAACAAAAAGGCACACTGTACTTGGTAGTTTCCAGATCATCTTTTGATAACTCAGAATAAAATAAAATCACGAGAACCTTAAGAACTGCACTTTCTGTGATCCCGATGCTTCTCTTTCTTAGATGCCCTGACAGACTCACTGTACTGGAGCATCCAATCCACTTGCACTTAAATATTTAAGGCAGATAAAACTTCAGCCTTTCTCAGCAGTGAAAGCAACCTTCAACATAAGGCTGAGCTACCCAGTTATTTATTTCCCATGTTCTTTTCTTTTTTTTTTTTTTCTACTGAGGTTGAGTGGGTAATTTAATTAAAGTCTCCTAATTTTTCCTGAGTTCCTTTCAGTAAGACTCTGTGTACTGATTCCTCAAGGACAGCCAGCCAATACATGCTGCCCTCACATTTGGGAAATTTGGTGGCATCCTGCAGCTGCTTCTGAAAACTCTGTTTCTTAATATTTTACTGCTATCCTGCAAGAATGCAGAACACATCATTGCTTTTCCAGAAAATATGCTTGTCTGTCATTTGAGCAGCATGTCCTACAGCTTTGACAAGGAAACAGTGCAAGGCAAAGGTTAATCTCATAGCCAGGTGAAAAAGATTTTACTAGTCAGGAGGTCTGAAAAGAAGAGTTAAACTATCCGGGCAGCAAAAAATCTCCTCAAAGCAAACAAAAAAAAAAGATAATGGTAACTATATAGAAAATAGTAAGGAAGATGGGACCACTGAAAACCCAGAAGGAAAAAGCAGAACAGGTACCAAGCTTTGATTATAAGGCACGCATTATGATATATTTACGTACAAACAATACAAGATTGTATTTATGTTTTCTGGTTTTCCTGCAATACCACTATTTGATGAGGTGGTTAACGTCATCTTATGTAACTTATTTACCAATGGAAACTTCTCATTTTAAATCTCAGGCTAGAAATCTAAACTTACATTTAATTAGGATTCCTGAAACAGGTTCTTTGCTAAATATTTCTGTTTCAATATATACCCTCACTATTCCCCCTCAAAGTTGCAGATTTTTCCCTCCAGTTCAGTTTAATGTCTCTTGTATCCCAAATATTCTGAATATATCTAATGAGGGTTCTCATTTACCTGTCGCTATTTCCTCAATTCTCACTGCAGAGACTCCTCCTCCATGTCCCAAACTCCACGTCATTTACTTCATCAACAGACTTAAACATCTCTTGAAACTCCTGAAAGTTACACTGTCATACTTTCAATGGGTCAGCACAGACCAGTATTTTAGAGCACATTATCTCACACGAGTCAACAGGGTAGATTGTCTGTTTTTATAAGACCATTTTGTGAAAGAGGAAGGATAAAGGTAGAAGAACCAAGCATGACTTTACAGTACAGGCTACGCCAAGTGCAAACCCAACTGACAACACGCTGCAGTGTCCTCCAGCAAGTTCTTCCCAACTAAAATTGTGCTATATATAGCAGCTATCTTGTGTCTAGCGTACAGCCTTGCCAGTCATAACACTGCAACAATTAAGTGACTCAATCACCAATTCAGGGTTGCTTTTCTTACCCATGCACACAGAAACAGCTGTTTCCCTGCCTTAGGGGTTCCTTTTCTTTGACACCTACTTGGCACAAGCTGTTTGCCAGGAACTCGCTGACGCATTCAGTCAGTTTTGCTGCTGCTGCTGCTTTTTAGTGCTGAAGCCCGGAAGGCTCAAACATGCTTTAAGCTGCAAATCCTCCAAATGTGCTCTGTACATCCACAGAGATGTGAAGACTTGACTTTTTATGTCACCTTTACAATTCTTAGACAAAATCAGTGTTGCAGTGGGGCAGCAAAGGAGATAACTAGCAAACACGACTGCCACGGCAACACAAGGTTAAAAATGACACCCCAGCAATATCCCTATAAAAGGGGCATGGCGCAGCTTAGCGGCTTAGCACGGACCCATCTCCACAAGGACACTACCAGAACATCAGACAGAATAACCAGGACTACGGTCACATATTTTAGTGCTCTCAAGCACATTGGAGGCACATTTTGTTGTTCCACTTCTACGAACCACAGTATTTTTATCACCTCATTTATAATTTACTATTACCTGTCAGGCAAAAACTACTCAAATACATGGCATTTAGATTTGAAAAAAAACCCACCCTGATATTCCTCGTATTCTCTTACCCATCCTCCCGTAAGGTAATTAAGAATCTTACTTGATATGGGAACGCCATTTGCTAACCAGCTTATATTAGGCTTTGGGTTGCCATTAGCTCTGCAGATCAATGTCCCATCTTCTCCAGGAGATAAGACCAAGTTTCTGGGTGCTGTTATCCAGTATGGGGCAGCTGGTGTTAGGAAGAGAAACACAGTAATTGTTTTCCAAAGTTATGTACAGAAAACCATAAGGCACAGTCATGGTAACCAGAAGATGGTTCAAACAAGGTATGTATAGATATAGACTTACACTTACACAGTTAATTTTTATTTTTATATGCATCTGTATGTGTGTGATACTCAATGATTAACTGGTAGATTATACTTTGGCTAAACTGAGCTACTGGCTACCCGCTGCATTAAAATTCTGAGATAAGCAACAAGAGGCTCTTTGTTTCATTTAGGGTTGCCTGCTTTGAATCCAATTCGCCTTTCCTAAAGAAAGCAAAATTTATCTGAGTATGGCATCTGCAGATTAGGCTAGAGTAGTCTTTTGACTACTTTCAAAGATATTCATGTTCACAGTAGTTAAGCTGTTAGAAATGAATTTAGGTTTGATTACATAAAAACATTTCATGTCAAGTGGCAAAATCCTTGGTCTTGCTGAATTCAATGGGTATTGCAGTGGGGCCAGATATTTACCTGAGACAGCTGAAAACACACAGAGATCAAAATGGATAGAACACTGTCCTTACCAAAAGATACTAATCTATGTCTCCATCTCTTTTATAATAAATAACCACAAATAGCATATGTTAATCACATCTTGCAATTAAATTTCAGATTTTGGATTGATGGACAGATGCAAACAGAAAATTAAACTTCTGGTCTTAAAAAGGAGGTTGAATGTGATCATAAAACGATGCTGGTCTACAATAAAATAAGTGGCTATTTAGCATGCAAAGTGAGCACTACAGTTGATTATTTCAATGACTAATTAGCTGTCATTCCAGTTTTTTTGTTTCATGGCATTCAAAACATGCTTACAATTGCTATTTGGACACACATACTCTAAGTGTTTTTAGAACTAGTAAGACATCATCTTGGGTAAAAAACACGAAGAAGATAGAAAAACAGAAATGTCAAGTAAGAGAGAAAAAGGAAGAAGAATATAAGACCATAACCCAAATAATAAAATAGAGAAGAGAAAGAATCTGGGCTATATGAATGGGGAGCAGAAAAGATGGAGAAAATAAGAAGGTGATGAAGAAGAGAGATGGGGAGGTAGATACAAAACCAAGGGAAAGAAGCAGTCCAATGACAGCTAATCAAAGGATCTAAAATCAATGTATCACTGGTACAAGCCAAGAAATTATTTTACCACTGTTACAGTACAGTCTCAATTTAGCCTGTTGATTTATAAAATTACATATTAAAAAAAGAAAAAGAGATTAGAGATAGTAAAGTCCTTCCAGTGGTAATATTCAGTCAGTTTAATGATCATTTCCTCAGGATTGTTTGGTTTTTTTTCTTTTACTATTATCATTCACCCTTTCAGCTATATTTTATCCTAGAAAGCTTGCTTCAATCTTGCATTCTGGACACTGACAATATTACATCAAGGATTATTTTAGTATTACCTTTCACAGTTACTGAAATGACATGATGAGCAGAACCTAATATATTTCTTGCTATACATTTGTAGTTCCCAGAGTCAGCTTCAGAAACATCTGTAATCTTGAGAGTTTTCTTAAAGTTTTCAAAAAATGTTCTGTTGGCTGGCAGTTCCCCACCCTCTTTAATCCAGCGGATTACCGGTGTGGGTCTGGAGGAGCAAAAGCACAAATCAGATTTAGGGACTGGAGAAAAGGAAGACGAGAGTTCAATACATTAATTTTTTGAACATATATTTTACAAATAATTATTTTAAAAGCCTTTTCCCAGATTTTGGGGCATGTCCAGCAAATGTGCAAAATATGGCAGTGCTTGTTTATAGGAAATGACAAGCCTCACTAACACTGTCAATGGCCATCTGTTCGTAGGCTTAATAATTATAGAATACATTTGTCTGCTGATTTATCTAAAACCCCTGATGGTTAAGAAATGAATACAAGTGTATTTCAAATCTTGCACTTATAATATGAAATTGATGCTCATAGTGCTTTAAAAGGTAGTTTCTAGATAATGACAAGTTTATAGTTGTCCTTCATTTGAGCCATACCCTAATGCTTCATGAACATCATAAATTTTACAGCAGAGCTGTAAGGAGTCAGAAATATCTCCTATGAGAAATCAAGAAAAAAACGTCAGTGCTGAGTCAAGTTTAGCTACTTGTCACTGCACTGTGCCTAAATCTTGGCTATGCCCCAGGCTGTCCACTGAAGACGAAAGTTGTCCAAAGACATGGAGATATACTTTTAATATTACAAGGAATTACAAGGTGTTGCTTGCTGAGTAGAATGTCCTGTCTCAAATAGTAATGACTTCAAGGCAAATATTCCCTTAGTAGTCCAGTACCACATGTTTTGTAAGAGACACTTAGCTAAATTGACTTTTAATTATCGTATCAGTAATTAGGAACAGTTATTTTTAACAAAATCTGAATCTGGCCCTTTGTGGACAACTATCTAAGCTTCCCTCATTGAATTATTTTTTTTTTTAAAAAAATACATGATGGCTAAAGGCGCAAAGCCATATAATGTATAATATTCTATTTTTTCCCCTGTTTTTATCCAGCCAATTTACTGGAGTTTGGATCACCGAATACTTCTATTGCAACGCTGTCAAAAAGCATGTAGCTATATTGTAGACAAAGATTACCCAAGCTGATGCTACTCCCACTCATAGGTGTAGTTTTCCTAGCAGTGCTGATGCAAAGACACCTGAGGAGACCTCAGCTGAGACAGAAACACTACACTGATGCTTGTATCAAGCTGTGTCAAGCTGTGCACAAGCGTGCCCTGTAGAGATTATGTAAGTAAACACATGTGCATGATGCTGTGCTGCATCATTTACAGTTATTGGCTTTTCTCATGGCTACCTCTGAGCACTCAGCATTATATGCTTTTGTGCACTGTAAACATGTTTACAGTTCCTGAAATAGGTACTAAAGATTTTCCACTTCTGCACTAACCAATTTATTCTCAGATTTCTTCCCGAGAATGAAATTGATTTAACATCAAACTAGTTCATGAAGTTAAATTGCTCTTCAGTAATTTTCTACTTGCACAATAACCAGCAGAAGCAAACTTGCATTACATTGAAGAAACAAGTACCAATTAAACTCAATTACAATGAGAAATTGGATGTAAGGAGCTGAAGGTATGTTCTAACAACTCCCACCTAGCTACTAAGTAATTATTAGCATATGTGAGCAGCTTTTTCAGATTAGACGAGCAGATTCTTAGCTATTTTTATATAATTTGAAAGCCTGATTACAAATTTAACTAAAAAACAGAGGCTTGATTCCTCAGTGCAATTCTGCAGATGTGTGTCCAGGGTTACCCTATGGTATTTCTTGCTTGTGTCCTTTAAAAAAAACAATGGTGCAAGCTGAATCCTGTGCATAGGGCTTGGGGATATGAGAAGGCAGAGGCCATAATATTTATGTTCATAGTCAGTTTTAGAATCTGCTGATGCCCAAGTAAATGATGGACTTTCTTAAAAGAGCTCTTTCCATTTTACTTTTCTGTTTCTTTGAAATACCTAAGCTTATGCAGTGGTAACATTTTAAGCATCTCTTGAGAAGTTTCCCTCTGTTTCTGTATTTTTATTTAGAAAAACACTGTCTAAAAAGTAACTCACAATCCTGCTGCAATGCACTCCAGCAAAAGCACATTTCCTCTGAGTTCCACTTTGGTACTTGTGCTACCTGTTGGTGTTAGAAGAATCGGTTGCCTCTCTGTAACTGGCTTGGCTGGAACAAGAAAAAAATAAAATAAAATAAAAATCAATGTATAAATTTTATTTTAATATTTATTTATTTATTTCAATATTGATCAAATGCATACACCCATTCTCACATTGTGGACAGTGATTTTGCTGCACATTGCCCATTTAATTAAAAATCATTGTGTTACAAAACTACACCGTTCAACACATTAGGTTTTTGACAGACATAACATAATCACATCTCAACCTGTTAAATGCTATAATTTTGAACACATACATGAAAAATGTTATTGTTAAAGATGGGAGCAATTGATACATAGTGTTTACATAGGCAACTATGCAGCCTGATGGATGGATGTTGAGCCTTAATCCTAAACAGCCCCTATTCACTTCAGCAGAACTATTACAGGGAGTAGGAGGTCACTGATGTGAATCATAGTGCAAGACCAAAAGTTACCAAAAATTTCTGGGCTTCTAACAAAACACAAATAAAGCAAAGTTATTGCATTCAGAAATATAAACCAAGGGGATAAAAGGTACATTCCGCTTTGCAATATACTTTGTTCAATATTTTCTAGACAACGTGAGGCGTCTTTTCACAAGCTAAGCCTTGTATTCTCCTCCTACTATATATTTAACTTTAATTCGAGCTGTTCCCCAGTCTGGTAATAAAGAAACATTGATTAACCCATGAGAAATAACCACAGTAAAAAGATAGCTATAAATATAAGACCCATTTCTGACATACATTGTTGGCTTTGAAGTATTATGGTATTTCATGTGCCTTCATGGAAGTCAGAATAAGAGTGATTTCTGTAAATACTCTAATGTTCTTTTATAGCAATTTTAAAATATACGATTAAATTGCTCTGAAGTGCAGTAGCAGTCTGAATCATTACAGTAAATTATTGCATTTTTTAAAATGTGAGCAGAAACATAGTAAACTTGTTTATTAAGGTACAGGATTTACTGAGAGATTAACATAAAGAGAACACAATTTTAATACAGTACGTGCTATGAATTCCTTAAAAACTAGTACACAAACGACTTTAAGTTGGGAGAAAAGGGTGGTCTAGAGTGAAGAATTCAGTTGATAGTCACAGGCTTTAACTAATCTACCCAGTTTTGGCACTGCTAAGGACCACCAACTCCTTTTGCAAGACTACAAAAATTCAGAAGAATTACCTCTGGTATTTCTGAGTTGTGAGTCAACTGAATGGTGTTTTCCTCACTAATTGCAGCTAATTTATCATTCTGTGTTCAGACATATATTTCTTCTTTGTTCCTGAATGACATCTTATTTTTATGCAGAGAATTAAAATATTCTGTGCCCCTGTTTTATTTTAGATTCCCGTAAGTTATCATTTAATATGTACAAAGCCTCATTTGACAAGGAAAAAGACAAAAATAGAAGAAATATCATGTATTTTCTATCTATCTCACATAACGTCCAGTGGAGAGTCTAGAACCTAAAGTGTTATGGAATCAATGTTGCTCCAAAGTCAGCTTTGCTAAATACACATATACCTGTTCGGGAGGATTTAATTCACACTATACAAAATATTATTCAACAAAGATTAAAGTAAAGATCAGCTTAAACACCAGACAAAAAAAACCCTCATCCTTCCCTTACAAAGTTACTTATACAGATAGTATTAAAATGTTAAAATTTTATACTTATGAAATGTTAAAAATGAATGATATATTTAATAAACTATTAAATGTGAAGTGCATCTGTTAAATGCTTAATTGTTGTTATTTATATAAGCAGCATGTGATACTGAATAGTCCTAGTGATAATGAACATATCAATCTACTAGTTAAATAGGACAAATATAAAAAAGCAACACAGTATGGAAGCAATCAAACAGACGATTTTTAAAATCTGCCCCAGTGTGAAAGGACTCATTTATTATAAGAGTTTGTATTTTTTATGAACCATATGTTATAATAACATTGAACCATTAAATATTTGAAAGGATCACACTGTGCAGTCCCTTTCTAAAGCATGTATTATCACCAGCACTAATAGATACCTTTATTAGAAACTGAAAAGGGTGCAAAAGGTTAAGCAGCCATGGAGGTGAAGTTAGTTAACTAAATGCTACCGTGAAACAGGGAGTATCAGTGGGGACCAGTGTAACTCACCACCATAAATATCAGTGTCACTCAAATTAGCAGCTATAGTGTCATTCAATGAATCCACTGAAATAAACAGAATATCATGAAGAATGCATACAAAAGGGATAAATCAAAGTACTGGGAATCAAAAGGTGATGATATGGCCTCAGTGAGTTAATCAAATGATTGATTAATTTGTTTCAATAGTTACAATAACCATAATAACTTCATATTCTTGGATGTGAAAACTATTTGAAAAATCATTTTTTACACTGTATTTTTTCAATATTTTAAATCTTACAAAACATTTTTTCAAAAGACAAAGCCTGATAAAGGGAAAAAATGACAGCTTTTAAAATGAATTATATGTCAGGAACACTGGAAATTACATTTTAAGTTTATACAGTAACATAATTCCTTATTCAGAATTAAAATGACAAAATTCCTAAGCATAACACTACTTAACTGTTGCAAATAACTTGAGAATTCTGGATAAATACTACGTAAGTATGTAATTAGGTAATGCAATACCTACTTGAAAACACTTTTACAGAAATGGGTTGTTTCTGCTGTATAGTTTGCGTATGATTAAATCTTGCATAGCAGATATAGTCCTCCCGGGTATCTTCTGGTTGTACATTAGAAAAATAAAGGTCTCCATTTAAACCTTGGGAAACTCTTTCACTTTGAGGCAGCCTTTGGAAAGCTAGGGGAAAACAAGAACACATTTATCTCAATTATAATACACACTCCATTATGATGATCTGCAGACTCCACATCCGTTCGATTACACTATTTGTGGGTTTGTAAATATATAGACCTTACTAAGTTTCCTCTTGAGCTCTCTTGTCTTCCCATTCTTCCCTAGCATGTTAATCTACAACTAACATTAAGATCTCCAGCTGCTTTTGGCTTCATGCTTTTAGGCTACGTGTCTGCTTTTTCTTTGTTTCTACAGAAATGGAAATTCTTTGAATTTTGACTTACAGGGAAACTCCACCATCTGTGGTCTTGGAAAGCAATGATCAGCTATGTAGAAAAACTGCAAAAATTCTGCATAAAAACCAAACTCACCGTTATCCATCCAAAATATTATAGGTGGTGGTAAGCCAACAGGAGGTCTGCAGTGCAGTACTAGTGAATCACCTTCTCGAACATGATTTGGTTCTAGTTTTTCTTTTGTCCACAAAGGGGATCCTATATAAAATAATTTTAACACACATACAAACTATGGATTGACAGAAATTCCAGAATTTAAGGAAGAAATGCACATAATATTCCAGAAAAACTGAAGAACTACATGCATCAGAATGTTAAGTCCTTTTATGTTTACTTCTGTTCTTTTTTATGTTTTCTTAGGAGAAAAGTAGGCTTTCTTTAAAATATTGTTTAAAGCAATGATTTCCTGAAAGTATCATCAACTGATTAAAAATATTTTGGCTACTCACTAAAGGTTCTATAACAATATCTTGGAAAGTTTTAACTACAATAATGCAAAAACAAAAACCAGAAGTGATGCACTAAATTAGAAAAAAAGGCAGACCTTCCTGAAAGAGCATTATACACACACAGTTTTATTAAAACATGTGAGAACAGCATATTTTAAGCTGAGAAGCTTGAAAAACTGATCTGAGATAAAAATCACACTAAAAACTGTAGACACAGTCTACCATTAATCAAAATTCTTTAGCTTTATTTTCTTTTTGGTCCCAATCTGTTCTATATTAAAGCTATTATAAAAACTATGGAATACATGCATCAGAAAGAGAATAAAAATCATCCTCATTAAGGATGTGCATTAAGGACTTAAAAATTTTATTCTAACCCAATTTTAAACATGATAGATCATCCAGGCATACCCAAAAATAAAACCAGGAAAGCATTTTGGTTATTAAATTTTCTAAGGAATATTGGAGAGAACATGCAATACATTGTTAAATCTGAATATCAGAAACTATACAATACCTTCTAACATGATCACTCTGATGATTAAATTTTTATGACAGGAAAAAAACCCGCAAAACATTCATATGAAAACAAACCAAAGTATTTCACATTTTATGAACATTAAGACCTTCACTTACTAGAAGGCCTTATAACAATATTGTTGGAAATGGCTGCTCCTCGTTCATTCCTTGCTGTACACTGGTATACTCCTTCATATGCTTCTGCCTTCCCACCATTCATAATATTTACGACAAGGGTCCCTGAATTTGGTTTCATTGTTACTTGTGCATCTTTATCTATATCAAAATGAGTTCCATTGCGTGTCCAGGAAAAGCTAAAATAATAAAAACAAAATGAAAAGTTTTTTCTTCAGTTGCCTTTTGTAGATTGTATGGAGAGAGAGAAGAAAAAAGTAATTTTCAATAATACATGGTATTTTTTCTTTAGCAGGTAAGTAAGGCTTGTTCCCAAACTAAATTAACTAATAAAGTAATAGAGTACTTTTTAATGTAAGAAATCAGGCAATACTTTAAGATAAAAGCTTGGCTGAACTTGTTAACAGGAGCTATTTCAAAGTCAATATTTAAAAAAAATTACATTAAAAGATTCTTAAGTTAATCATATATGGAATAGAACTGTTTTCTTTCTACTAAAGATGATACAGTAACATCTGCAAGAACTGATACTGCTAAAGCTGCATTAGCATTTCCATTATAAAACCTATTGTTGAAAGGGTTTATAAACCTGCCTTTAAAAACTTGCTCTGGGCTGAAATGTGTCATCTTGGGTCCCAGCAGGAGACCGCTTCTTTTAATTGGTTTGGCCATTTAAAGTTATGCAAGTGAATTAAAGACTGTGTGGTGAGTTTCACTTCTTTTCACTACTCTAATGCAAACAGCCATAATTCTTTAAATGAAATTTTGCAGTCTGATAGCCCATAATCAATCTAGTAAATTTACACTGGTGTTACTCAAAGCAAGAAATGTTTTGAAAAGGAGTCACTAAAAATGAACTCATTAAAAACTATTAGAACTCATTTAAAAAAAGTAAAAAAGCAGAGATTCACAGCCTGTGACTTATACTATCGTAAACACCAATTTCTTACTTATGCTTTGTTAATGGCCAAAAGTATAGCTACAGAGAGCTAGACCAACACCTGTGAAGTGCTGAGCACTCACAGGTTCAAATGTTGTGAACAACAGTTTTCTTACTGGTTACATTTCAGCTTCATAACCTTAAACACAAACACTATATATACTTACTGTTTAGAACGCTTCCTAGAAGTATAAATGTATACAGTACTAGAAAAGCTCAATTTTTAAGTCACTCAAATTGTGCACTGACCTTCTTCAGTAGGAGGGCAAGACTGGACATGCTATGGGCACTTTGTGGTGGGGGAGAGGAAAAGAACTGGACCTGATCGGCAGCACTGCACCACACTGCCATGTTTTTGGGTGGACTAGTGTGCATAGTGAACCAATGGATGAACGTGTTTCTTACAACCTTGTGGGTGAAGCTGCAGACCGTGGGGTTCCTATAATCCTCTGCTACCAATAACACTGAAGGATACAGGGACCTGTAATGTAGCTTCAAATGAGAGGTGACAAATGTGGTACTAACCCTTGAATTTGAGATGTATGAAAGTCAGAATCTTTACTGCTCAAGCTATAGGTAGCAGCACATCCATAAACCTTTCTGCCAGCTTTTCTCACCAATAAGAAGTTATACCCTGTTTCAACAAACAATTCACACTCCAGGCTGAGAAAGTTCATCTTCAACTTCCGAGCTTTGAAGCAGCTCAATTTCCAATATGCATTTGAAGGTCATCCAGCCTGATGGACCAGACTAATTATTGAAATAAATTGTTGGATGTCATATCTTTAAAAATAAGCAAAAACCAAGCACAAGCTTATAAAACTCACTAGAAAAATCCTGCACTTAAATCCTGTCACTTCCTCCGTAGCAGGGGAACAAAGTGAGACAGTGGTTTGATGGGAAAGGTGAGGCTGTAGAACAGAGAGCCCTGGCACGTGACTCAGGTATGTCAGTCTCACTGACAGTGCTCTTAGTCTCTCAGCTAAATCCAAACCAAAAAAGGCCTTCAGAAGAAACATCTGCAGAAGCAGTACAGTTGTCCGAAAGCGCACAATAATCATCTGATCCTCCAGGTCAACACCCAGACTCTTGAGAATGGCATTGTGCCTGCTAAATTAAAATGCTGGTAAGGCACAGCAGCTTTATGGCACTCCTACCATTAACAGAACACTAGAAAGGGTGGCGGTATCACAGATATTCTCCGTCTTCTCCATTCTGCTGCCCAGCACGATAATGACCATGATCCCAAGGCAGCCAGAAGGAATAATGTAGAAAAAAACCCTGGTTATTCAGAAGTACATTTAATGAGCTCTCTGTGTGTCTGAATGAGCAATTATAGACTGACCTTGCAAGTTGCAGCATAACACTACTGAGAACAGAGATGCACATTTCTCTTTATATAGTCTCCGAAATCAGAAGCAGTTACTAGCAATGCCAGGATGCATCACAGCTACTGCTATTTCTAGTGCAGGTACTCAGTATCTTGGAATGAGTAGTTTTCAAATATTTCAAGATACTGAAACAGGACTTTAAAATGGAAGATGATCAGGAATCTGATCTCTATGAAATCAGAAGCAGTTACTAGCAATGCCAGGACGCATCACAGCTACTGCTATTTCTAGTGCAAGATACTGAAACAGGACCTTAAAATGGAAGATGATCAGGAATCTGATCTCTATACAGGGTGACCCTTTCTGCCAAAACCCAAACTTAAGGCTATTAAATACACTTGGTAAATCAAGGCTATTGATTATTAAGGCTGATATGTATTACATAACTTCCGACAAAATCGCGATGTATTTCAAGATGAGCCTTGTAAACCACAATGATTTACAAAACATGAAATTTGAATTTATTAGTGTTACTCTGAATTCATTCAACATCCATTCTTCTTAGATACTATTAAATCTGGAATGTGATCCAGTTCACAGTATAGCATGCATCTTAGCGCTTTCCATGGGCATTCACCTATCTGCTTTTGTAATAATTGAGCATTATTTTATTGTTAAAGCTTTGAGAAGAAAAAAAATACTACAGTTGCTTGATGACTACAGAGAAGTTTAAATGTCAAGTATGAGAAGAGTCAAATTTATGCCACTATCTGGTAGCCCTTTAAAGTACAAAGGTAGGAGTGCATGCGTGTTTTTGCATGTGCAAGCACATACATATATGCATGTAGTTGTTAGTTTACAGAAGTCACATTATTTTCTCCTAGTTTTCCAATGCTGTTAGGCCAACAAAAGCAAAACAAAATGCTACTAACCTAGGAGGCGGCTTTCCTTTTGCTTCACACTGTATTACAATATTTTCTCGAGGGTCAACAATGTAATCTTTTGGAGATTGCTGAGTTATCGTAGGAGGTTGTGACACTTCATTATGGAATATAAGAGACAGAGAGAAATTTAACAATATTTTCAAAGTATCAGCAAGACAGTTGTGTAAGCAGAGAAAGCAGAACTGCAATTAGCAACCAAATCAACTGAAGAGTGGGATTAAAGTATCTTTTGTATTAGGAGGCTGAAGCCCTCTACTCTTGTAAATCAGCGTAGCTGTACTAACTTCTAGCTGAGCCATGCTGATTTACAGCTCATGAAGGTCTTGGCCAAAAAGTTTAATGAATATCATTTCTATACGTCAGACTTCAGCTTTTCACAAAACCAAAGGACACTTGAATTCTAAGTCCAACATATCCCGAATGAAGAGTTGTGAGATGTATACCCCCACAAAATGGTTTTTACCACACAGAAGGAAAAAAAAATACATTGCTTTGTATTTCTACACATTTCACATATTTCCAAATTCTCTATGGGTATAAACTTTTCACATCTTTATTGTGCTCAAAATATTGAATTAATCTACAAAGCATGCTTTTAGGAGCTACTTTTCAGGAGTAAAAGATGTGTTGTAAGTAAAAGAGACTGTAAAAAATGACAAAAATAGTAACTAGTTTCCAAACAGAGCAAACGCAGAAAAAGTCCTGTACTGATTCTCCTTAAAAAAAAAACAACAAAAATATAGTCAACCTTGTGAATAGCCCCAGGAGAAACAAACATTTAACATTTATGATTTATCAAGTACTCTAGAATGAGCAGCACAAAAGATAATTTATTCACCTGACAAACTAGTCGGTGCCTACCTATTCAAAGTAATTTGTTATCATCTATGCCAATTTTTGCATTAAAAAAATCCCGTTTATGGTATTCAAGATAGTAAGAAAGGTGTCTTCCTTAACATTATTCTTCTGTCTGTAGTTTAGTGTTATCTAAAGGAACCCGTTTAATAACATGCCCATGAACATCCCTGTCTAACTGTTGTAAATTGTCTGTCCAGCTATACACTTTACTAGTACTTTGGGGTCATTTCTAGCCACTTTAGCAAAATATTTCAATCCTTAGAGTTATCTGTGTTCTCATGTCTCACTCTAGCCAGTTAAAATTGTAAAACTGCGATTTTTATTGTAAGTCTTCCCTGCCATTATACATTAAGTACTCTGTTGCACAGAAAGAGGTAGCCATCTGTAAAGCCCTACTCAGAAGAAACAGCCAGGAAAAAGAAATCAGATCATGGAATCACAACAGGATGTAGCAGCTAAACAGAACAGGCCATGCAGAGCTGGGTTTTGCTCCTCTTCCTCACTGCAGAGGGGAGTGCTTAAAAGAGGAGGGCAACATTTTTACATGATGACGACTTTTTGTGTATTTCTTTAGAGAGGCACTTCGAAGACAGTCCTTTTCCTTCTCAGAGGCACTTCTCGGGGTCAGTACATGTCAGATGCTTACTCTGAAAAGGGACATGACATGAACACTATCCAACATACGGGATATTGCATCTGATGCATATCAAAGACCTGAAGTCTTTACTCCTGTGCTATGTGCTGCACTTAAAACTTATTAAATTAATCATGACACTAGAGCTGAATTAAGAGATCCCATAAAGGATGAGGTCTACTTAAATAATGGTATCCACTGGTTTTTAAGGATAAAAAAGTATCTCCAACTTGGACATGTAAAATAGTATGTGAGTATATATATCCCAATGAATTTATATTTTATCAAATATATTTACTCCTGAAAGTAGTAATAAAACATTGCTCATGCTGATATTGAATAAAGATTTTAATGTTCAGATAGCACACAATCAAAAATTACACAGTTAATTTGTTCAAAATATCAGAACACTGGTTTATGTACAGTAGTATTTTGTGAACACTGCATGCACAGAACATCTAGCTACAGCAAACCAAGATATCAGCAAAATGTCAGAATCACACATTTTTTTCACTGCAAATTCAATTTGCAACACAATCAGTATTAATTTTCAGCAGCACACAGCCTAGTTTTTGTGGACAGGAACTTACATTCTTCTAGAAGTTTTGCTTTTATTCCCACATCAGAATCAGCAGTTGAATGGACAAATGGAGATTAAAGAGAAACATTTGTTAGTTGAAAGAAAATTAGCATTTTTGAGAGGGAAGATAAGTATCTCTGACAAGTGCATTGGTCACCATTAAAAAGAAAACATTTAAAACATTTAGCACTGTAACCCATGCAGCAATGCCTGAAATTCCAGCCACGATTTCCATTGTGCCAGATATTACTGCATTTATCTCAAAGTTCATGGTATGAGAAACTTTTCTGAAGTGTTGACTTTTTAAAGGCAACCATGGTATGTGATTTTGGCCTTGCAAGGACACAAAACACTGATACTGCGGAGACAGCAAATCAGAATTAATGGAGTGCACTGCCCTCATGCTGCAGTCAAAATCAATCCACTCGTATGATCATATGGAAGAACACGGAGAACGCTTCAGGCTAAAATTACTCTTACAAAGACGAAAGCACCTAATTCTACTCAACAGACATGCAATCCCTTTTGGTTTGAAAAATAACTAAACAAAAAAAAAATCACCTTAGTTTTTACGTCTTTATTGCTAACTTCAAATATTTTGCATACATGTCTCCTCATCAATAATGTTTTAGAGCAAGTCAAACTGCTTTTGGTCAGCTACATTGTCAGCCTTCTCTTACCTACTTTGAGACACTGAAGAGCATAGGAACTGCTAACGTGGATGAATCCTAAAGGTTCAACTAACCAAGTATGTTCTCACCATTCTCTGTGGTGGGTATTTAAGGAAAACCCGTCGAACACCTTCGTTCTTCCCTCTAATAATTATTTATGAAAGCAGTAACATCATTATAGTTGTAATTTTGGTTAATAAGTTTTTTTGGCTAAAAATACAAGTATGTGACTTTATCAGACCTAAGAAAGTTACTAAATATTATTAGTAGGGAACAACTTGATTGAGAGTTAATACGCTACATCTAAAAGGGCTACTCATTTTTGTCTGTTGATGCATTTCTGGTTGATTTAACCTGAAGTGTTGCTCTACACAAAAGATATCAGAGTGGTGCAAAATTTACATTAGTGCCTAAACTACAAGATGGGCTTAAAACACTGTTTCTAGCCTGCAAAAATATTTGGGGAGAAAAAATAAGTTTAGAAAACATGATATGAATTCATTGAACTTTTAAAGCCCTCTTTAAGCCACAGTTTATTGCTCTAAAGGCATTCATAATACAACAAGTCTGACGTGATTCAGATATATCAATCTTATTACAGAAATACAGGTCATTGGTTTGAGAGGCTTGTAATATGCATGGAGAAAAAAAAAAACACCCAAGCAGATGCAATTTATGTCAATGATTATTAAAGAAAAACATGCATTTATGAAAGTTAGGAAGGTATCAAAAACATGGGGGTAAAGAAAGCCATGCGGATTAGAATCATAGACAAATTTACTGATGTATTAATCCATCAATTTAACACCAGCCCTAATGTTCTCTTCTCTGGTAATTAGTTTAACAAATAAGTAGTCACTGTGAGGTGCAACATGGTTCACTGAATTCTGAAAATGTGATCATACTTATCTTAAGAAGAAAATAACAACCTGAAGCATGAATAATTTCATAAAATTAGCTATTAGGGTTATAAAACGCAGCAGCTACCATTGCTTCCTTTTCAGCATGGAGTGCTACCTTCAAGGTTCCCCACTAACACAGTCTTATATTACAAGAATTTCAGATCCTGGGATTTCCCCTCCTCTAGATGTTTCCTCACTGGTTAATGCTAGAGTTTCCTGCTCAGCACACATGCTTTTAACTTAAAGTTAGGTATTGAACTGTTTTCAGGCACTGCTTACGAAAACTAAGAGCCTAACTTACTCTTCTGGATCAAAAATTAAAATGCTTCCAGTGTCTGAATTTTAGTTATTTGAATCTTTTACTAGATCTCATATCAGGTCCTGGAAACCCCTTGTATGAAGGTAAGGGTGATTGTTTACAGCAACTAGGAATTGTCCTGGGGTTTTCAGCAAATTGTCAATATGATCTTAATTTCACAAATAATTAGCACTTAACTGTGCTTCTCTGTCCTTCTTCATTTTCGTCAAATGGAGCGTTCAATAAAGGCACACCAAAGTGTATTTGTGAGAATCCTATGTTAACCCTTTTCAAGTGACAATGTAAGTCATTTTATATGCACAGTTTTTGAAAATCTTCAGTAAATTAGTGTAAATATTCATAATCATAATCTCCTGACTGAAGTGAGCAAACGCACTCCATGTTTAGATCCATGTTGGAGTTATCTTCATTGTCCTATTCAGAAATTATTTAACTAATCTTCCATCATTCTGCACTTATTTAGCAAGTTAATACTTACAGTCAAGAGGTACGTCCAATGCAGAAATCATTTGGCACAGAAAGAGGACCAAGGAAGCTTTGCTTGCAGATATGCTCCTCTTTTTCATCATGATTTTAGGCTGTAATGAGTAAATCACACTTGAAGAATGACATTCAACTTCATCAGACTAGGTAGCTTGGAATAGTTATGTATATATAGACAAGAAACCTGGTAAACAAAGAGAATAACAATATGTAGATACTATGGAGAGTTGATGATCACATCTTAATAATATTATGAAATAACAGCAGTATACCAGGTTCTATATCCAGGGAGAATAGCTACACCATGTGCTCTAATGAAATCCAAGCAGAGATCCAGAAGTTCTTAGGATACCTAGATCATAACACCTTCCTAAGGAAACTAGTGAACAACTGCAATAACCTTGTTGAATGGAAACACAAATGCCTCTCCTAAGAAGGATAAAGCATCAATCCAGCTAGTTAAAAACCAGTATATACTAAAGATAATAGTCCTCTGAAGTAGATTTAGGAGATTAAAGCTCTGAATGCCTGCCTAGTCTCTCTTTCAAACACCCTGCACAATTCTTGGAAAGAGATATTTTAGGCTTCTAGTCCAAAGCAAACATATCTGGACACAAATTTGCTAAGTAAACCGTGGGATCTCCCTGCAGCTTTGAGTTAGGTATCTTAGCTTCTCCCCACTTTAGAACTCTTTCTAACAGACAGCTGCAGACTGAATACAGAAGACTTCATGGATTGCCACGCTGAGGTGCTAGCTTATGTAATTATAGGAACCTAGACTCCTATTCCTGGATTTCTGATTCCACCAAAATACATAACATCAAAATGCTTCATCATTTCTAGCCTGAAACCAAAATCTAATTAACTGGCAGCACAGTACCAAACTCTCTTCTCCTCCTTCCCTACGTGAAGAAGTGGCAGAAATGAAACTTAAGGGAAATCTGTTTTCTGAAATGTGCTATATTTTCCCCTTCAACCAAGCATAAGACATCATATTAGCCATGGCAGAATGATTCTGGCTCCCTCCTTATTTCTACTGCATTCAGGACCACTCTCTAACTTAGAAGAATGTTCAAGGAGCAAAACCTAGCTGCCTGCAAGCCCCATCATCATCATCAGTGACCTGCAAAGAGCTTTAAGAATACAGCCTTAGAAATCCAAATGGTGCTTACACAATGCATTCTCAGTAAATGGACATCAGCTGAGAAAGTACTTCCCAGATGCCAGACTGATCAGAAAGTTCACAGTGATCAGCATTAATTTACCTTGGAGAGAGCACTTCCTCAGCTATGCCTACAGATGTGAAACACGACGTTATCAAGTACACAAGGACTTAAAGTTGCAAAGCAGCAGCTGCCTTACAAATGTTAAAAAAGGAGTTATTTGTGCTTCCTGAAGTTACTAAAACCAGTCTATGCTAAGAATTCCCCTCAATCTTCAGGTTACTGAAGAAAAGATCTCTCGTAATTGCTGCTGTAAATGGTCTTTTCTCTTTGTATAGCCTTTGGAGCAGAGACTGGAACTGGAAACCAGAACTGAGGTTTCAAGTTGATGAGGCTCAACCTCTCATCCTAACCTAGCCCATCAAACTCCCTGATTCCTACTGTCACCATTGATAACACAAATGTTTGTTTCAAAAATCAAAATATCCCAGTCGGTTAAACTCCTAGAGACATACTGCTCCTCAGAGCTTCTTGGGAACTGCTGACCACGAGAGAGGGCAAATTGTGTATTCACTTTCAAAACTATCTACAGTACTGCACACCATAATGAAACAACTATCTCTCATGGCAGATTAGGAAGATCACAAAACTCATCAGAAGAGAGAACACCCGAGTTCTAGCCTTTACATTATTATTTACACAAACTGGAACTGCAGAAGCAGACAAGGTGGTTACCCAGAAAGTGGTTAAGGTATACAGCAGGGAAGCATGACAAGTACTCGGACCTTCCTAGAAAAATAAACTGAACTTTCTTACAGTTTAAATGAGCACCCTAAAGCACTGTGCGTTTAGCTGGGGAAGGGGAGAAGCGTTTCTCCCATCCCACTTCTGGCACATGTAGTCTCCTATGCTCCTGCTGCAGTGAGTAAGGGGAAGGAGGAAGGCTTCTCTCAAGAGCGCCTGAGAGCACTCCAGTGTGTTTCCCTGCGATGAAGTGCTCTCCGGAAGAGCTGATTTTGTTCCATCAACTACAGCTGTCTGCTCTTCTCCAGTTAAACTAGGTTCTCACACTCTGTTCTCCTGATCTTTATGTTATCTCCTCATTACAGCATCACTGCAGTTAACAAGGTGCCCTAGCTGTACAATGTGTTTGACCCAGGATTTACAGGACACTCTTTGAAGTATTCTAAAAGTGAACCTTGACTTTTATTGTTTCTTCTCCAAGCAAAATTTCAGTTCACCTTATGAAATCCTGAGAACCTGATAATCCACTTTATTGTCTTGCCCTTTCACCATGTAAAATGAGTATTGAAGTGATTTGAGAGTATTTTAAAATTAAATTGCATTCCCTTTGAACAAGTACAAATGAATAGGCAAGCAGTGGTGAATCAGGCATGTGCAATTAAAATCATTGTGAAAGTAATACCCTTGAGAAAATGCCTCACATTGTCTACCTCTGCTACTGCAGCGTTCCAATAGGATACCTATTGACTCTACTGCTAGGATGTTTGGATATAATATGGGGATTCAATCGGCAGTGGGAATTATAAAGCTGAGCTTGCACACTGACTTTGTCATCCTTCAGAGAGGTAACGTGCCCAAATGGTTTGTGATAGAACATATTTAACTGAAAATGATTTTAGGTTTGTCAGCACAACTGGGCGCTCTTGTTGAATACATTCAAGGTTAAATCTGACATAATTTAGTATGAATACAACAGCTGCTGAGTAGAACTAAACACTGCTTTGACATAGTATTATCTGCTACAAAATAAGGCCAGGCCTCTTAGTGCAGATCAATGTAAAGGCTTCAATTTCAAAAGTTGAAATATTTATACAGCAGATTGCCTTTTCCTTCAGATAATTTATTTAAGATCTCTCATAACTCAGACATTTTGTCCTACCCTTTTCATAGGAAAACACATATATTTTGACAGCTCATTCAGGAGTCTATTCCCTGATTTGTACAGAATAAGATTCTCTATACCTACATACCTCTTACATACATAACAAAATACCACTTGTTCTATTTTCTGTGCTTCTTGCTGAGATGCTGATGGTGAGTTAAAACATGGGCTAAAGGTTGAAGCTGTGGTGTAATTGTATCACAAAGTATGATATCAGATTTCAAAGGGAGGACGTTTATGTGTGACAAAAGAACAAGGATCAAGTGAGAGACATCCACTTGGTTTTTCTTTTTTTAAAAAGATATTACTACTTTTTACAGATGAGCTACAGAAAGACATGACTGAAAGAATGAAAGCACCAGTGAGCCTGAGGTAGGGTGTCTGCCAGGAGCACAAAACAGAGGTTGGTGCCAGTGATCTCCTCCCTGTGACTCACATGTCTGGACACTTTTGGCGACAAACAACAAAAACAGATATTTTGAAAACACCGAAGGAGCTAGGAAAAACAGCATGCATATGGAAGGGATCATTTGGGAGGCAGAATCCAAGATCATACTATAATTCAAATGGGACAGGGACCTTCTCCATGATTTTAAGAGCTTAAGAGCAAATGAATCATAGAATCATTTAGGCTGGAAATGACCTTTAAGATCATCAAGTCCAACCGTTAACCTAACCCTGCCATCCCACCACTAAACCATGCCCCTAAGCACCCCATCTACCCATCTTTTAAATACCTCCAGGGATGGGGACTCGACCACTTCCCTGGGCAGCCCATTCCAGTGCCTGACAACTCTTTCGGTGAAGAGATTTTTCCTAGCCTAAACCTGCCCTGGCACAACTTGAGGCCATTTCCACTTGTCCTATCACTTGCTACTTGGGAGAAGAGACTGACACATCATGGCTTACACACTTTCCCTCTGAAGGAAGTCTCTGTACTACCTATGCACTCTGCTACTCCCTGAATCATGTCCAGGCATCATCTGGGAGAATTATGGTTGGCCCAGGTAAAAATCTGCCAGGGAGAATGTTAACAACTGAACAGTATAGATGATTGCGGAACGCACACAGCATGGTATATTTTACTATACTGTACTAGTACTAAGTATTACTAATTCCTAATTGAGATATTAATACAGACAGATGCACTCTCAATGGCCATTTCAAAGTTTAATCAATTAAGGCTCCAAATTGACAGAAGAAACGCATGTTTCCTCTAGCTATCTTCAACATAAGCACATGGCATCTTTGATACCCTTGTAAGTGCTGCTGCAATATTTCTTTAATAGGATGTAAGAGCTGTGAGTGTATTTACTGAAATTCAGCCTAGGCCAAAGATAAAGAATGTATTTTCTAAACTTAATATTGTTCCACAGTTTTGATGCATCAACTGATGATGCATTTCTATTCAATTACATTATTTTAAGACGCAAAGGCCTCTATGAATGTGAATCAAAATCAAGATCAGTGTTCGAAATGTGAAAGGGTTATAAAACTGCAAGAAAGAACAACTGGAATATTTCATGCATATTAGGGGGAAAAAAGCATTCTCTTCTGTATAGTCATGATTAAACTAATGGGGAACAAGTTAGACACTGCAAATGAGAGGAAAATTACTACTGAGCAAAAAACTTCCTCTGTTTCATGTGTCTAATACCTGTATTTTTTCTCACATCAGAAGAAAGATAGAATTAGAATATAGGAAAATATAAACAGTTTTCAAGGAAATCTGTTTCAATGCAACCTCATATAAAACTCCACAAAAACATGAAAACAGTATCAAAAGAGGTAAATTAATTTAATGACTTGTACATAAAGAACTGTTGATAATACACACATTTAATTTTATATTTTTAACAGATAAAAAGCATAAAATACTTACTTTTGAGGAAAACTGCAATACCCTTATCACTTAATGACAGATCTTTATAGCGCTTATGTATTTTATACAACTATGCTATCTGTGGAAGTATCATTAAGATGTTTTAAAATATTTTTGAACAACTGGTTTCAAATTTCAGACTTT